AGAATGCTATCACAAACATAAGAAATCATGGGAAAGTCACAAAGAAAATGATTTAATGACATAAAAACCTCAAACTTCTATCAAATCTTTAAAAGATAAAAGGGAGACAGGGGGACTGTTCACACACGAGACTGTTCCCAACAGACAAATGACTCAAGTACATAAACAGAAATATTGTACACTGTGTATGTGGGTTGGTTTTTGTCTGTTTGTTTGGGTAGGAAAGGGATGGAGAAAGGGATCGAGTACATGTCTGTAAACCCCTTAGGTGAGGGTGGTATTTGGGGGTGGGGGAGAGGGCTGGTTCCTTCCACCCCTCACCCACATAATCCAGGACCCGGCAACAGTGGGCCTCCGAAAACTGACTTCTGCAAGAAGATAGTATACATTAGGGCCTGTGAGAGAAAGGGCTCCTACATTCACGTCTGTTAGAAACAGAACTCAGGCGGAAGACTGGACAGTAAAGAAAAACTCAGACAGGGCCCGAAGGAACCGAGTCAGCAGGACTTTCCGGCTGGCACACGCGGGCACGTGCCTCAAGTGGCCAGCTTACCTCTCAGAAGGCATCTCCTTCCAGACCTTTATCAGTGGGTCTTGTCTAGGTGTTCCGAGGAGATTATCTCAGTAAAATGGCGGTTATTTCATTTTAAAAATTCAGAACTGAACAAAAAGGAAAGTGTTGTTCATGGGTGAACCAAGGAGCTTGTTTATGTGTATCCAAATCCGATGAGTTGAAAACAGACGTAATGACCAGACCTAATGAATGGGCCCTCTTGACTTACTGAGGTCCATTGTAAAACTCAAGCACTTGAGGTCCATGTAAATATACTTGCATAGGTGTTTCACTACAAAGAGTCTGCAAAAGAATTCCATGTTGAATTGTCAGCAGCATTTTTTAGAAATCTGTGTAAAAGACAAATGACTTAAAGAAAAAGAGAAATGAAAGACTCATTTTGGAAAAACCATTTAGGAACTTTCATTTCTACATCCATGTCTTTTTTAAAAATCTGATCCAATAGAATGGGATCTGAGAATGCTATTCCACTACTCTTGATCAAAAAATTACACATTCTATTCAAGAGAACCTGGCAAAGGGTAATTTTTATCAAATAAATGACAAAGGAAATCAAAATGAGAAAGAAACAAATATGAGGAGAAGAGAGGAAGGCACCCACTTCTAAAACCCTTTTGCTCTGCAGTAGCGATCTTCAACCAGTATGCGGCAAGAATTTTAAAAATATTCACTACCTGACAATTTAGTGGGGGGTACTGACTAAATCAGGGGTGTCAGACTCCCTTTCACCAGGGGCCACATCAGCTTCGCAGTTGCCTTCAAAGGGCCGGAATAATTTTAGGACTGTATAAATGTATCTACTCCTGAACTGTTAAGGAGCTGAAATTACATTCAGCCCCTTGAAGGCAACCGCAAGGCTGATAATGGCCCTCGGTGAAAAGGAGTTTGACACCCTTGGTAAATAGATCGTCAAATAAGAAATGACGACACTCAACATAAGAATAGCCATCTGGTGTGAATAAATAAAAATTACACCTAAGTTTTTTGTCAGATCAGCAAAAAAAACATACTTTTTGGTGTGCCTCAGAATTACTGTATGTGTGCCATGACAGGCAAAAGGTTGGAAATCACTGCTTTATAGTAATGATCTGAATTAAACTGTCATATTTATAGTTAACTATATATTAAAGATTTGTCCTTCAAATTATTTTGATTCCAGAGCCTTCCACTGACAGAGACAACCTAAGACAGTTCCAACAGAACACAAGAAAAAGGTAACGGTGTTCTCCACGGCTTCGGAAGCCCAGCAACTCAAATCTCCAGAGTTGCACGCTGATTCTGGAAGCGCCCCCGAAAACGCCAACACCGGGGGCTCGCTTTTCCCAGTAGCCACCGACTAAGTAAACCTGAACACTCCTCCAGCTGAAGAGAACCCTAAAGGCAGGTAAAAACAGAATGAACGAGGCTGGGGGAGGGGAGGCTGGGGGAGGGGAGGCCTGCCAGCGGCTCCTTCGGGCCCACGCCCACTCGTCCCGGGTACAAACGCGAACACCTGGCGTGCGCGGGGGGTGCTGGAGGAGGGCTGGCCTCTGCGAGGAAGGGGCAGCAGGGCAGGCGGGCTCTCAAGGGGACTGCGGCTCCAGATCCTAAGCGCCCCACTTGCCCGACAAAAGCAAACGCGAGTTACTCTAAAAGAGAAAAACATCCTCTTAGGCCTCCAATTATTTCTAAACAATTGTGCAAGTAAGATGTCCAGCGCACAATAAAAAAAAAAAAAAAAGAAAGAAAACTAGGGACAGCAGGAAAGGCAATATGAACAATAGGAATGAAAACCGACAGAAACAGACCCTGGGAATGACTCACACGTGCGGCCGTGATCAAACTTGAAGGCAATTAATTACACGCACTGTATTCAAGGAGGTAAGAGACAAGATTGAGGATTTCAGCAGATAACTGGAAACTATGAGAAACAAGCAGAAACTAAAGAGTAAAAAAGACACGACTGAAATAAAAACACCGGACAAGTGTAACAGCAGACCCTTCACAGCAGGAGAGAGAGTTGAGGGGGAGTGCTGGAACGAGGGACAGGCAGAAACACAGGAGGAGGCCTGAGAGACACAGACGGTTCCGTGAGGTGTCCGAACACGCGTAGCTGCAGACCCGGGAGAGGCGAGAGAAGATGCGGCCGGAGCAGTGTCCGAAGCACTAACAGGCGATGATGTCACAAAATAATGAAAGACACGAAGCCACAGATGGAAAAGTCCTAAGAACTCTAATCACATGTTTAAAAATTTGCTGAAAACTGAAGACAAAGAAAACATTTAAAAAGCAGCCGGAAAAATGGCAGCCTACAGACAAGTGACTTCCCAGCAGAAAACAACCCAAGCCAAGATAACGAGATATCTTTAAAGCTGGAGAGGAAACGGTGGCAAATCAGGAACAGTGGGGGGGGGGGGGATGTTCTCAAATGAGACTGTGGTGATGGTTGTGTAACTCTGTGAAACTACTACAGCCACTGAACTGTACACTTTAGATGGGTAAGTTGTTATAGTATGTGAGTTGTATCTCAATAAAGCTGTTTTCGTTTTAAATGCAGGACAAATAACGACAGTTGCACACAAGTACTGTAAGAATCTGTCGCCAGCAGACCTGCTCTAAAGAGATTCTAAGGGGCAGCCCAGGCTGGTGCGGCTCAGTGGATTGGGCGCCAGCCTGCGAACCAAAGGGTCGCCAGTTCGATTCCCAATCAGCGCACATGCCTGGCCTGGGGGCCGGGTATCCAGCTGGGGCATGTGACACACAACTACCCATTGATGTTTCTCTCCCTCTCTTTCTCCCTCCCTTCCCCTCTCTCTAAAAATAAATAAGCAAATAAATTAAAACCTTAAAAACATTAATTCTAAGGGGTGTTCTTCAGGCAGAGAGGAAATGACCTGGAACGGAAGACGACAAACGTGGTCTCGCAGAGCTATGGCTAAAAGAGGAGGACCCTTTTGATAAACAGTGCTGAATCAGGGGTGCGGATAAAAAATAAAACTTGACCCCCTTTTCACAAGTTACACAAAAACCAATTCCAAGTAGACTGTAGATCTTAATTTGAATGGCAAAACAGTAAGATGTGTAGATGTTATAGCAAACTATCTTCTTGATCTACAAATAGAACTTTTACAAATTAGGGGAAAAAAAGGCATACAAACCTCAAAAAAAAAAAAACCAAAAAACCGGGCAAGACATTTGAAGAGGCACTCCGTAAAAGGGAATACCAAATAAGCAAGGAAAAGATGTTCAACCTCCTTCGTCAGCAAGAAACCGCGATCTGAAACCACTTCTCACTCACCGGGATGGCTAAAATTTAAGACCGACAAAACCAAGTGTAGACAAGGATGTGGCGCACAAGAACTCACACACTTGCAGGGAGTGTAAATCAGTACAAACACTTCGGCAACTAGGTACGATGTTAGCTCCTGAAGTTAAAGATGATGCCTATCTTTTGAGCTAGAAATTCCCCTGCTAGGTGTACACCCAACAAAGGACGAGTGCACCAAGAGACAAAGAAGGGTATTCCCAACAGCAATGCCAGCCACATGTTAGAAACAATCCCAACGTCTACCCACAGCGTAATGTCGAAACTGGTGTATACATTCGTGCAGCGCAAAACCATCGGGCAATAAAAGTGAACAACAGTTACAACAGAACAAACGATTTTCAAAAACATCGTGAGTGAAAGAAGCCAGACACAAAAGAATATCGATTCATTTAAATAAAGTTCACAAAACAGGCAACGCGGAGCTACAGGCTCTATAGTTTTTATGGTATGTGTGTTTAGAAAGGAAATTATTACACCGGGGGGGGGGCGGGAAAAAAAGGCAAGGAAGTGATTATCTCCCCAAAGCAGGCCTGGGTTCCCTCCGGAGCGGGAATTCCGGGCCGCGGGCGAGGTCCCACTTCTCGGCCCCACGGCCAGCAGACCCCTGGCTGGGGGACAAGGCACGGGGTGGTGCAGTTCAGCCCGTGCACTTCGCCGCGTGCAAAAAGAAAGGAGAAGGGGGACGAGGAGGGAGAGAAAGGGGGCACGCAGCTCCCGATGGAAGGGAAGCGCCACTTCACAAGTCAACCCAAACGCGGCTGAGCCCCGGCGCCGGGGCGCCTTCGCCCAGGGCTCGAGCCCTGGAGACGGAGGCCAGAGGGGCTTCGGGCCGGCCTCCTCCGGGCTGCCAGGCACCGATCCGGGCTTCGGCCGTCGCGTGCCACCGCGCGGCCGGGGCGCGGCCACACCTGCCCGGGGTGTCGCCCCACCCGCAGGCCCCCGGCCCCCTCCAGTGCCTCCCACCGCCTGCGGAGGCCGGCGCCGCCCGCCCCCTCCAGAACGCCCCCCACCGCGACACCCCCGGGCGCCCCCGCCGTTCCCGACGCCCCCACGACTCCCCCGAGGCCAGCCCGCGCCGCCCGCCGAGTCCCTCCCCGCCGAGGCGCCCGCGCGGCTCACCTCATTGTCGCTGCCGGGGCGGGCGCGCGGGGCCGGGCGCGCGGCGCGGGGCGCGGGGCGTTAGCGGGGGAGCCGGCCCCGGGCGCGGCGGCTCCGCGTCTCGCTGGGCTGCGGGGGGCAGCGGGGGCTCATCTTCTCGGGGCGGGCGTCCGGGCCGCTAGCTGCGGGAAAGGGCTGCGGCGGCCGCGCCTGACAGCTGGGCCCCGGCCCCTGCCATCTTGGCGGGCGCGTGCCCGGGCCGGCGTGTGCGCGCGCCGCCGGGAGAGGTGGAAGGAGGGGAGGGGGCGGCGACCCCCGGCTCCGCCGACCGGGAAGCGGGAGGGCGAGGTCAGCCCAAGGGCCGAGACTGAGGGTGCGTCCCTCCGCCCGCTGCACCAGGTGGGACGCGCGCGGGCGTCCCTCGGCCCGCCGCCGCCGAGGAGAGAGCGCGCGCGGCGTTCCCAGCCCGACACAAAAGGCGCGGGGCCCCACAGCCCGCGCCTCCGGGAGCTGGGAGCCGAGAGTTGTGAGGGGCGGGGCGGGCCTCGAGGGGGCGGGGCCTCGCGGTTGGGGCGGGGCCACGGAGGACACGGGGAGGGCGGGGCTTCTGGGGAGGGCGCGCGGTGGGGGCGTGGCCCCTAGAAGGGGGCGGGGCTTATGGGCCTATGAGGGAAGGTAGTGGGGTTAGGAGGAGCCAGGGGTGGGACGGGGTCTAAAAAGAGTTGCGCGTTGGGCCGACACGTGGAGCGCTGAGCCCTTCCCAGCGCTGGGCGCCCCCTGCACGGGCGGAGGCCAATGACTTCTCGATCGTCTGTGCGTGGTGGCCGGAGGATTACCGCTCCTTCAGCCCTGCAGTACGCCCCGGCTGTTCGGACGCCGTGGGCAACCTGCATCCGAGGGGTGTCGAGGTCACCGACTCCTGACTCCTCTGTTTGTCAATAAAGAGCCAAGGCCGGGACCGGGAGTCGCAGCTTTGGGCCAATCCCAGCACCGGAAGGATTTCCCCCAGCCCAACAAGAGCCCCGCCTAAGGCTACAAAACCCGTGAAAAATCCCATCCACAAACACGGAACCAAGTAGGTCATCCAGGTTTTCAACGCTTGCTAAAGCCCATCCTTCCTGAAGGTTAGCGATCCTCACGGCTGGCAGGAAAACCTAAACCCTCAGAGTCTCACGCCCAATATCTAAGTAGACATAGTCCTTGTGCTTTCTCAGTATTAACTCCCTTTCCCCTCTGTCACAGCAACGATGAAACCGTTTCTACCTTCTAACGAGAGTCTACGTAGCATTCGAGAGTGCCTGGCGTCCAGCAGGTGGGCAGCGAAGGGTTGCTAGTTCACTCCCGGCCCAGACTGGGAAGCAGCTCTGTGAGTGATGTGGTTTTGCCCAGGAGGTGGCGGGGCCAGTTCTCCAGCCCGGCTTTTTCTGAGTCAGAATCCCAGCACCCACCCCTTCTCGCTTTCTGCCGCTGAGCACCGTTCCCAGGCCTTGCAGGTTGGGTCTCTGCATGTTTGTTTAGCCCCCTCCCTCACCATCCGCTCGTCAGAATACCTTAGCGACTGGTTGTCTCAGGTCCACTCTCCTTCTCCTGTTTGTCTGAGCCTCAGTCTTCAGACTCAGAGGCACCTTGGTTCCTGAGTCCTGTTAGCAGCCCCCGAGGGGTTTTGCCCCTCCTGGCCTGATGTGTCCCTCTCTTCCTGGGGTCAAAATTGGTCTTTTTACTACAGAAAAGACTTGTGGAACCCTAACAATGACCAAAACGGACAAGCCCCGGGCCAGCTGGTGACCCCCGCTGTGCTCTGCAGACAGGGTTCCCCTGGTCAGTGCTTATCAAAGTCCTGTGAGCAGACTCCCGGGGATACTGGCCTGTTTGTCCCCAGCCTGGTTTGGTGAAGCGTGTGGCCCACCCTGACCTTCAGATCGAGCACTTTCTCTGCTGCTTTGGAGTCGGACAGGTTGTTACTGTCCTATAGCTGGAAGAAGATTTGCTGGGAAATGTTGATGGCAGATTTGCTAGAGATTACTTGTACCGAAGGTAAGGGGTACATACACCTCCTCACCTCCATCAAACTTTCCTGCTAACTACCAACCCTCTGGAATAACAGCCATCCACATTCCTTTTAAAGGGATCAGAGACTGTGGATGCTGGAAGGGACCTGCGAGTCCTTTTCTCGGTGCAGGGTCAGGGGCACAGAACACTGAGAAAGGGCAAGTGACCGGCCCAGCACCCCTGGGTGAATTCATGAAATTAGCCGTGTGGGCTCCCGGAGAGGTCCTTTCTCGCGTCTGATGTGTGTTCCTCAGAGCATCAGGAGCAGCAGGAAGGGCCAGGGAGGACAGGCGGGGGCCACTGCGCCCGAAGCTGAGCCCCCTTTCCCATGAATGGGTGCTGGTCTCTGTCTAGCAGCCAAGGATGCTGGGAAGGCAGAGCTCCGCAGTCTAACCCAGCTGGCGCAGGCCGCCCCGAGTCTCCATCCTCATTGGACAGATGGGGCTCCTAAATCTGTCTCGCAGGCACTGCCGGGGATCAGCGTGAGGTAAGCTCCTGAAGGGCAGCCACCTCTCCGCCCTTTCCCAGCACCCTCTCTCCCATCTCCTTCCCCTTTTCCTCGGCTGTGCATCTCTTGAAACCTCGGTCTGTTTAGCATGTTTCCCACTTACTGAACAAAGGTGTTCTTCCTTCAAAGTACATGAACGAATTCGTGTTTTCCATTCTTCTGAGAAAAAGAAAATGAACATCTTGGGAGCTATGTGGCCCCCGCATGGTTTGTTTCCGGAGGTCGCCGGTTCTTGGATCGGGAAAGACAGCTCACTGAAGTCAGTGACTCTGTGGCACGTGATGCGCGTGGGCACAGGGCACGTGGCCATGCTGACCACTCCTGGACCATGGCTCCCGTTCGTGGGGGAGGCAGGAGGCCGCGGTTTCTGCTGTCTGCGAGCCCGGGACAGCCATCGAGCCGCAGACGCACTGGAGAGCGGGAAAGTCCTCAAAGGGCATCTCGTCCGCCCTCCTTGTCCAGAAGGTGGATCTCAGGTCCCCCAGAGGCCAGTGAGATGAACAGTTGGGTGACCCCGGTTTTACAGACGTGAAGTCCTAGAACCGCCCGAGTCATCCCACTCCCGTCCCATTTCTTCCATGTTTCTGCCTGGGGTCACCGCCGAGGAATCAGCCCCACAGACCTTCCCCAGCACCTGGTGTTGCCAAAACAAACCTCACTCACCACAAATAAGCAAAAGGAACACAGTTGCTTTGGGTGATTCGCCAATGAGACCCCGTCTGGTTTGTATTAACCAGCTTAAGCTGTATTACCAATTCACGCCAGAACTGAAGCGAAGACTTGCTTCTTTAAAGTGGAGACAACAACAGATGTCTCCGGGGACTCGGGGACCACCAGCGACCCTCACCCTGCTTTTGAAAATCCTCATTCACCCCACTCACGTCGTTGACCAATTCAGTCATTACCAACTGTTGTTTTCTGGAAACACAACATAACTTGCATTCATTCATTCAGTGTCTATTGAGCACCTACACATGGGCTCAGGCCGCTGCCTCAGTCTGCCTGGCAAATTATCCTCAGCCCCGACCCTGGGACAGACCCTGGGCACCCCCCCACAGGGCTGCTCATCACACCCTGCTGGGGTGGGCTGCCTAACTGCTGGCTCCAGCACTAGACTGTGAACTTCACCAGGGCAGAAATTTGTTGTATTCCCGTGTCCCCTCTGCCAGCTGCAGCACAGAATTGAAAAGACGCTGCTGACAGGTCACCCCCATCCAAGCCGGGCCTGCGGGGGGCGGGACCAGCCTGGCGTGCGCAGGCATTACATTTGGGAAGCAGAAGCTCCTGCCTGTATTCTGGGTCTATGTGGCAGGAACTATACACTGCTCCCAGCCCCTTCTGCCTTCCTTACACCTGAGGATGGTTCGTAGCTAGAGCTTCTTCGTTTGATTCCACCCTGTGGGCTCCTTGGCTCAGAAAACCAACTTTCTTTAAGATTATAGTTCACCCAATTTGAAGACTCAGGAGTGGGGAGGGCTCTTGGGAAAGGGGCCTGTTAGGGGCCTACTGGAGACGTCCCCGGCTTCCTGTGGGGTAACTCGGAGACCTGGACCCATCATGGGGAGGCCTGGCCGGACGTGGAGGGGACCTTGGGTGCTCACCCAGCAGAGAACAACTCCTGAGTGCCCTTGTCTGCAGGGGGTGGAGGACTGGGTGCCCAGGTGGGGCACGCCCGCCCTCCTGGAGGAGCGTGGAGCCAAGGCCTGCCGCCCCAGGCTGCCCGAGTGTTCCCACTCAGCCGAGTTAAGAAAAGGAAGCCAAGCGCACCCCCCAGGCCAGCCTAGCCAGCGATCCCAGAGCTGCGGACTCCACGGGAGCCCAGGCCCTCTCCCCGGGGGCCAGCCCTTTGGGAAGGGACGGCCCACTCCCCAACCCAGGAGAGCCCATCCTCCCTGGAACCCCCAGCCTCAGTCATCAGGTCCCAGCACGGGGGTGGGGTGGGGGGGGTGGGACGGTTGAACTGCCAGCCGCTCCAGGGAAGAACTTCCGGGTCACTCCTCCCCGTTGGCTCTCTCACACCTGCCTGCTGACAGCCAGGCCATTGTGGGGACCCGGGGAACACGCTCCCACAAGGGGATGGGAGGCCTGGGCCGCTGAATGTGTGAGCGGACCCTTTAGGGGACTTGGGAGGTCTGACACCTGGGATCGGCGACCCCCCGCCCCCTGCAGTGTTCTCCCAGGAAGCAGAACTTGGCACGGCTGCCGGAAGGGCCGAGACAGGGCTGTAAGGGAGTCGGGGTCCTGTGTAGAAGCAACACAAGAACAAAGAAGCGTTTGGGGAGGAGCACAGAGTGTTTTTTTAAATGTGAAATGTAAGCCCTGGCTGGTGTGGCTCAGTGGGATTGAGCGCGGGCCTGCGAACCAAAGGATCGCGGTTCGATCCCCAGTCGGGGCACGTGCCTGGGTTGCGGGCCAGGTCCCAGCAGGGAACACACGAGAGACAACCATATATGGATATTTCTCTCCCTCTCTCCTTCCCTTCCCCTCTAAAGATAAATGAATAAAATATTAAAAAAAGAAAAAGTTTTAAAAAATAAATAAATGTAAAATGTAATCAGAGGCAGTGAAAAACAGAGAAGACACCAACCCAGAACTAGGCTGGCCCGCCTCTGCAAAAGGGCCAAGGAGGAAATACCTTGGGCTTTTGGCAGGCCACTTGGCCTCTGTCATAGCTACTCCGCTGGGCCTTAGGGCGTAAGGGCCGCTGTAGACAATACATAAACGAGTGGACGTGACTCTGCTCCAGTAAAACATTGTTTATAAAAATAAGTGGCAGGCTGGGTTGGGCCTGCAGACCCTAGTTTTGATCCGGGGGACCTAGAAGACAGAATGAAAAAAATTTCCTTCACAAAGCAGAGTAGAAGAAAGAACTGGAAATTATCATTGACAAAATGAGGTACTTACCGTATTTTTTGGGCCATAAGATGCACTTAGGTTTTAGAGGAGGGAAATAGGAAAAAAAATTTTGAAGCAAAAAATGGGGTAAAATACTTAATAACATAGATAACACATTATTTCGCCAGTGTAAATGTAAACAGAACTCAACAGCAGCATCTACAACCATTATTCCTCCCAAATTGGGGGGGTGGGGGCGGGGGTGTCTTACAGTCCGAAAAATAGGGTAAGTAATGCTAACAGATTCGAGAGACCAAACTTCTCAGTAATATAGTTCCAAAAGGGATGAAGGAGGGGAAGCCCTCAGCGAGGACCAAGTAGAGTTTTTAAGTTAGAAGAACGCGTCAGAAGACTGGCTGTCTTCCCCCGAGACGAGGAACAAGACGCGGCTACCCACTCTCCCCTCCGCCGTCCAGCACTGTACCTGCCGGAGGGCCCCGTCGGGGCCACTGGGCACACAGACATTCCTCGGGGAGAGCAGGAAGTGAAACTCCCTCTCATTTGCAGATGACATGACCCTGTGTATGGGAACGCCAGCGAAATCCACTGAAGAACTATTTAAACGAATAAAGCAACCTCAGGGAGGCTGTAGGGTGCACAGTCAATATACAAAAATGAATCCTATTTCTATACGCTTGCTTTGAACATTTGAAAATGAAATCAGGACAATCTCACTTACAGGAACCTTAAAAAGAATAAGGTACTTAGAATACGTTTAACAAAAGAAGTGCAAGACCTACACTGAAAACTACAAAATGTCACTGGAAGAAATTAAAACCTAAATAAATGGAAAGACATCTTCCATGAATTGAAGAGATTAGTCAGGGTATAATTTTGATATATTCACACTGGAAGGCTGTTGTCTTTTTTTTTTTTTTTTTTTTTTTTTGGACAACCCAAGGGAAAAGAGGTCAGTGCCCCTGACTAAATAATCAGGTGTTGCGTGTTTAAAAAAAAAAACTGTTGTGGCGCATCAGGTGAAAATCGTGGCCTAAAACCACGCTGAGAGCTGCGGCCACCTGGATGGTGAGCTTCGGGGAAGCCGGGCAGCTCCGGGGCCAGCGTGGACCAACGTCATGCATGGTGATCGAATGACCGTGCAGGGAACGAGAGAGTGGGCTCCTGGCAAGGCAGCAGGTACAGAGTCACCTGGACACAAGGCGAGGAGCCCGGCAGGTGTCCCTGCTCTGTCACTTGCTGGGCCTGGGCTTTCTGGAGTCAGATTCCAGATGGTAAATTCTGGCAGCTGGAGGTGGCCGGGGAGGGGAGGGGTGTTGGGGGTGCATGGGGTGGGTGGGACCGGGAAACAAACGCAGGATCCAACTCCTTCAGCCAAAGCGGTAGCATCCTCAGCCACACCCCGGAGTCGATGTTCCTGCATGGTTTCATCCGGGGACAGCGTTTGCTGCTCAAACGAAGTCAGAGCCAGAAGGCCCCTGGCCCCCAACGTGGTCTCAGCCCCGAGCTTTTGGTAATGTTCGCCTGCCGCAGTTCATTGGTTTTTTACCTTGACAACTTTCCGGGCTGTTAGAAATCTGAAGAAGGCAATAATGTGTCTGTGTTTTCATTCTTTTATAAAACCGCTGCTGAATTTGGGAGATAATTTAAACCTGCTGCGCCCAAGCGACCTAGAACTGGGCCGGCGCGCAGGGCCTGACGGGCCGGGTAGGCGGTGCGGTTCCCGCACACGCCCCGGCTCTCTCCTCGGAGCGCGAGGCTACAGCCGCAGGGTAAAAATAGCTGTGTGCAGCTTCCGCCAGGAAGACACTTAAAAAGGGAAAAAGGATTCATCTGCTAAAAAAGAAAAAGGCTCCCAAATTGCTACCATAATTTTGGGATGCATTTTTGCATCAGGGCACAGGAAGGCCTTCTCGCCCTCTAAGTCAGCCGTCCGTTCCACGCTGGGTGTCTGCCCCCAACAGGCAAAGCTGACTTCGTGAAAAGCTCGGCGGCCAGAGCTGCCCTCGGCAGTGCTGTGGGCAAACAGAAAACACTGAGGCTTGAGGGCGGAGGTTGAGGACCCTCCTGCAGGCCCAGAAGCTCCCCTGCTGCTCGCAGCTCATTCACGGGTGCGTCCACCTGCCTCGTCGTGCTGACCACCTGGCAGCACCGGGCGCTGTGCGGGGTGTTAGAGGCGGGGGCGGCGGGGGGGGGGGGCGGCTGGTGGTCCCGGAGGCTCCACCACACGTACAACTCAGTGTGATGGGGCAAGTCCGATGAGCAGGGACCAGCATCCAGACCAGCCACTTAGGGAAGGCTTTCAGGAGGAAACGACTTTTAGGCTGAGCTGCGAACATGAGGGCCGTTGGCAAGGAAACACGGGAGGGACGGTGCCAGGGCAGAGAGCGCGGTGACTGGGCGGTGACGGAGAGCGGGCTGTGGTGTCGGGACAGGCAGCTCAGCCGGGGACGCGGAGAGACCGTGTGGGAGGAGCAGGAGCCACTGCAGGAGCCCCGTGTGCCATGCGAGGGGGTGTTCCCTCCGAGCCACGCCAGGGTTTTTAGCAGGAGAGGGACGTGTTCAGGAAGCTCACCCCACTGCCAGCGAGGAGGCTGCAGCTCGGCCGGCAGTGACCACAGCCGGCCAGGGCAGAGGCAGCATTGATGGGGAGGCGACGTGGACACAGGCTGGACAGCTGCCCGGGTGCAGGGATTAAAGAGAACCCTGGAACCTGACTCCAGGGGTTCCCATCCGGCTTCCCTGCGGTGTGGCCCGTGGCAAGTTAAGGGTCATCATGGTCGGAAGCCACCTCCTAGGGTCGTAGAGGGAACTGAAGGAGTCGCCAGGTGTCAGGCATTCGCACCAGTGGTGCCAGGTGTGGGGTCAGGGCTGCTATTCGAGTTACTACTATCGGCGGCTTGTTGCTTTGGAGCATGAGACTGAGGCAGGCATACATCCAGGTGTGCAGCTAAGGGAGCTGAGTCAGGAGAGGGGCTTGGGCCTCCCTTCCAAGGCTGAAGTGGTGGGAGGGGGTGGGGGCGGGAAGGGCAGGGGCCCAGGAGAGGCCTGCAGGGCACAGAGCGGGAAGCAGCAGACTGGGGAGGTTGTTTTTTTTTAACAGGAAAGAGTGGAACCTGCTTAAATGCTGGTGGCAGGAGGCTTGGTGGAGCCCCAGTGAGGACAAATGTCCCTGCAGGGTGGGCTTCACGGTGCTTTCTTGTCACCGTCGCCGCCGTGAGGGGACTGGGGAGGAGTGATGGTGTTTGTCACGGCCGCGTGGTGTGCCGCCAACAGGGGTTCTTTACAACGAGGTTGTGACGACACGGAGGAGTGCTTACAAGCGATACGAGAAAAGCAATACAAAGTGTGGTATGTGCCATATGCCAAGCACAGATACGCCCAGAACTGAACTCGCAGAAAACGGGGCCCTGGGAGGAAACGGTGCCATTTCTGGGTGGGCGGGGCGGGACTTCCTTCTGAACTCGCCGTGATGCGTCCTGCATTAGCGTTTTCATGGACAAGTCCAGTAAACTTTATTTTATAAAAGGAAACTAGGGTGGCCAGAGGCTGTCCCTGCCAAGGTCACAGTGACCTTGGGGAAACCCCTGCTCTCCAGGGGGTTCTAGTGTCTGCATCTACAGAAAGAGGGGGCTCAATAAAAGCATGCCCCCCCACCCCAGTGCGTGTCCCCAGAGACTCTGCCTTGCAGAGACGCCCCAGGGATGACGGGAGGCCGCGCGGTCAGACGGCCTTGGAAACCCCGCGTGCTCACAGACTCGGAGGAGATCCATGCTCAAACACGGCTCTGCTCACACCTGCTCAAGGCTCAAACACGAGGTCTGTGCGTGGCCCGTGGAATCGGTTCCCTGGTCACCCCCCAAGCTCCCCTGGAGCCCCGCCCCCCCTCAGCAAGGCCTTCCGATAAACAGCCCGGTGGTGGGGCTGGTGGGGCTGGCAGAGCACCGGGGACACCTGGAAAGGAGGGCAGCCACAGCTGCTTGGCCACGCTCCTGGACTCCAGGCCCCCCGCCCCGCCCCGCCCCACCCCACCCCACCCCACCCAGAGGCGGGGTCCTTTCCGGCCTCTGCTGCTGGCTGCCGGCTGCCGCCGGGGCTCCAGAGTCACCGCAGCCGGGGAAGGAGACAGGAGCGGCGAACACACCAGGGCAGGGGGAAGCCTCGCCTGTGCCGGCCTGAGTTTCCGGAAACCACCGTTCCGTCACCTGATGCCACAGACCCACAGGGAGGGGGCGGGAGGCCTCCGATTCACCCCCGCAAAGCTGATCCTGGGCGGCTGGGTTCTTCCGGCTGGAAGAAGCTGTTGAAACGGAGACAAGTAGGAAGAGAGCAACACTAGCTTCCGTAACACCCTTTTCCCATCACTGAACTTGAACACTAGTGTGAGTATGCAGAAATAAAAGGAGATCTTATTAAGTTAGTAGTGGGTCCCTTTCCCTTCCTTGATCTGGTTATTCCCTTGGTTATTAATTTTAAAATGACTGTTTTGCAAATCTGATGCATATGTACACACCACAGGCAAATTACAGTCCCCAGGGGAAGAAAAAAAGTCTGTATATGAGACAGAATATAGCGTGAATCAAATCTAATTTCAAATATTTTAATTTATATACTTTCATGATTATAGGTCCATACGAAATCCGCCTTTCAGGTTTTATTTCATTACAGAATATATTTGATAAGGATACGTACAAACAGAGTCGCCTTTAATACACATTGTTTACCGCTGCCCCGCCCCCACAGCGGCCGCAGGTGTCCCCAGAATGCGTCCCAGCGCCGCGCGGAATCGGCCGCCTGAGCAACCGGGGCTGGCCCGCTCAGCCAGTTCGGTTCCCTGACTTGCCCGGAACAAGTAAAAATCTGAACGTCTGTTTTTAAGTCTATTACTCTTCTATTTTAAAATCTGCGATACATTCCCCAATGTAAACAATACATTTCAGTCCGTCACACATCAAGATGCGTAAGGCCTTCTGGACAGACGGACGCCACCCGCGCTCACGCCTCGGAACGGAACGCGCCCCCCCGGGCGGCGGGGTGAGCCCCCGGGGCACAGACGGCGGGGCCCGGGGCGCCCGGGGCGCCCGGAGCACCCGGCGTGGTGCCCCCGGGGCTCCTCCCACTGCAGGTGTGTGGTATCTTTTCGACTTGGTCTAGCTGGTCTTAAAGTACAAATGTACAATTGTCCATAAGCATAAAATAGTAAAGCCTAGCCTTACATATTTATTATGAATCGCTAAAACCCTATACAAGTACAATACCGTATCATGCCAATGAATATACAGAGGAAGGCAGCCAAGTGTCTCCGTTCAGGGGCGCGAATGGGGACCCGCGGGGGCGCCGTCCAGGAGGGTGCACGGCGGCCGTGCCCCTGCCCCTGCGGAGACGTCAGCCCCGCCCCCGGCCCGCGGGCCCCCGGGAGGGGGAGCTCGTGCTGCCTCACCGGCGTCACCAGGTGAAGTCACAGCTGCCGCTCGCACGCTCAGGTCACCCCTCCGTGCCAGCGACCCGCAGGGACCGTGACTCAGTACCTCGCTCGTTCGCGTCACACACACTCGGCTTAGCAAGCCGGACAGCGAGAGAGGCGAGCCCACGTACAGCGTTTGGAAAGGCATTCTGTGGCCGAGCTCCCGGAGTCCGTAGAAAGGTGACGGAGCACATCCCAATCTGCTGACGTCGCCGTCACGTAAACCCTGGCGGTTTCTTGCATTAACTGTGTTTTATCCGCGGTGCAAGTGAGAGACCTGAACGGCCGACCCCACGTGGCGCTCACCGACCCGCTAGGCTAAGGTAACCGGCGCAGGGCGTGGTTTCCTGAGGTTTGTGAGAACTTTGCAGGCGAAACAGAAATCACAGTGACCGAGTGCCCGAGCCGGTGCCCCCGGGCCGCTCCGCTCCCTTGGCCGCGCCGGCGCTACACGACCCGCCACTGCATGATGCTCGTGTCCTTGCCGCCCGTGGAGATGAGGTGGCTGTCGTCGCAGAGGAACTCGACGTTGGTGACATGGCTGCTGTGGCCGCTGTACACGTGGCTGGGAGCCTGGGAGCGGACACCGAGGGGGCTCAGCGCCCAGCGCACGGCCGAGGGCTGGAGAGGCTGGAGCTCCGCAGCGTCCTGCACCCTCTGCCCTTCCCCCCCAACCCCCCCGGCTGCAGTGCTCTGTGCACACTCCGGTCAGGGACGGGCATGGCCAAGTGACCACCCTGGGTGCCTACGCTCAGTCCCAGAGATGCCAGGGGCGGAGAGTCAGGACAGGGAAGGACCAGGAGGGGCGTGCCAGGCACTGGTGCTGCTGGCTCAGCGCAGGGGCAGGGGGGCTGGATCGGAGGGGAGAGGGGTGGGGGCCTGGGGGAAGCCACAGAGGGAGGACAGCCAGGCCTCAGGACTTCAGAGGGTCGGGGTTTCCTGGGGGAGGTGTGGGGGGAGCCCCTGTAGTGCTCTAGGGTCGCGTCTGCACCCGGGACTGGAGGCATCCACTGACGGGCCTTGTACTGAGTTCCCAGACGGCCCGGTGAGGCCGGAAACGCACCCCCGAGAGAGGGGCGCGACCCCCGAGGCGGGCCCTTACCCGGAACTGCGAGCAGGGGTAGGAGAAGAGGTGCACTTTGCCGAAGTCGTCGCCCGTGGACAGGACTTTCTCCTCGCGGGCCCGACAGACGGCGTTGATGTCGGTTCCGTCCGAGCCTTCGGGCCACACCCCTGGAACCGAGAGCACAGACGGAGCCCTGGGAACCCGGGGAACGCTGCGCCCCACTGCGCCCCAAGCCTGGGGACCGCCCCCCCCGAACTCCAGCCGACATGAAGCCGCCTCAGTCCCAGGTGGGGAGACCGGGGCCCAGAGCGTGCTCCAGGTCGCTCCCGACCCCTCCCTGCTCCTGAGGCGTCTGATGGGAAGCGGACTAGTCCTACAGCATGCAGTTTCCTAGTTTTTTTTTCTTTTCTGGGAAACTCTTTACATGTGAGAGTCTCTCCAAAGAGCTTTTTAACCCTGCGTCTAAGCGTGCCTTCCAGGCCTTTCTTGGTGTCAGCTCTTGGTGGCTGCCGCTCGCTTTGTGAGACTGGCAGGTGTAGGGGCCGTCGGCCGTGGGCTGGGCGGGGCCGCAGCTCTGCTCCAGAGCCCTGTGCCCAGCGGGCCTGAGGCCGGCTCCGGGGGCGGCGTCTCCCAGCCATTGTGCCAGGAATCCTTCTCGGTCCCAGCAGCGCTGGGTCCGGCATGCGCATCAGTTTCTCCAGAAGCTCCAGAGTAAACCTGGGGATCCTAGCGTTTAGTACCAGCAGATGATAAATGCCAGCTCTGAGGAGATTTGTGAAATTCTGATCAAACTGGTGACCTAAGGTCTTACAGAGATGACAAATATTGCTTTTCCCCGCTACCACATCGTAGTAATTTATTTTAGATCATTTATGAGCATATTCCTATCCTAATTGGAACTTGGAAAGAAGTGAAAGTCTCAGTTTAAGGACCCGAAAGACGCAGTGATGACTCGAACAAAGGGTATGTGTGTTGACCGAGTGCCGTCTCTCTAGGAAGTCTGGTACAACCTCATGGGAGAAGATTCTAGAGAATCGCCCCAGGACCCATTTCACACAAGAGAAGAGGGTTCACGCCCGGGGCCTGGCCCCGCTCGCCCGCCCCCTGGCGCTGTGGGAGTGTGTCCTGGGGGCCCCACGCAGCAGCACACACAGCACAGCACAGCACAGCACAGCACTCTGATGAGCCGGGGGCCACGGGGCTCCCCAGCCGCCGGGCAGATACTCCGAAAGGAGACACGCCCTGCGGTGAGCCCTGGGCGCGCGGCAGACACTCACCAAAGACGTGGAATCCCAAAGTGCAGGTGTACGTGGCCCACTCAATGTCTCTCGTGGCCTCCACGCTGACGACTTGCTTGCAGGCAGAGGGAACCCCTGGGGAAGGCACACGCGGGTCTGCTGACACCTGAGCAGAGGCCCCCCCCACCCCGTCCCAGGGCCTCCCCTGCCACGGAGCCCCCATGAGAGGGACGGGGGACCGAGCTCGCAGCTGGCACTGAGCCCAGCCTGGGGCCGGGGAGGGCCACTCTCCCCCCTTCTTCCTGTCTGCGTCTGTTCTGCCCCCCACCCCCTGCCATCCGGCTTCTCTTTTCTTCGACCATCTCTGGTTCCTCGGCCTCCACCTGCTCGCTGTCCCCCCGGAGACCCCCAACACCGCTCAGGCCCCCTTCCCCACACTTGCATGTGCGAGGACACCCCCTCTACAACCCCCTTAACGCCCAGCTTGTGGGAACCAGTCAGACCAAGTCCTCGCCTCCCAGGTGATGTGTTTGCTCCCCAAGTGAGCCCCCCTCCCTGGGGAAGTGAGAGGCTGCCTGAGTCGGTCCAGACCCAGGGCCAGGCCGGAGAGCCTTCCCTCTGCTTCTGCCCTCGTCGGGCTGGGCGGCGGGGAGGGCGGGGAGAGCCATGGTCAGGGCACAGGGACTGCCCCGTTCCCTCCACCGCCTGCTGCCCTGCCTTTCCTGGGCTCTTCAATGGGTGGGCAACCCCCTACCCACCGGCCCTAAATGCCTGCAGCTTCGAGTCTGGGCCCCGATGTCCTTGACCACAGACTGGGATGAGCCTGAAAGCACTGCGGCTCATCGAGGAGGCGCAGTGAGGGCACCCCGCGCTTCACGCCCCTGGCAGCGCAGCCGGGCCCCCTCGTGCCCCGCGACCCCGGGGCTGGGCTGGTGCTGGGCCCAGGCAGCTGCCTGGTGCGTGCTCGCCGAAGCAGAGCGTGGCACATCTCATGCACACTGTACGTGCCAGCCATTACTGTCCTCACCGTTGCTGGGCAAGGTCACTCGCTACAGGGGTTGGGAGAGAAGGACAGGTCCCAGGGGGCTGGCTGCCTCACACCAGGTGGGGGAGACTTCCAGGTCTGCCCGATGGGAACGACATCGCCGCAGGTCCCCTCGCGCTGTGACGGCTCTGACCCCGCTGTCTGCTGCCACAGCTGCCCCCCTGTAGCCTCTCTCTGCAGGGCGCGGCCTCCACCTCCCTGGGGCCCGTCTGGGGCGCAGGTCGGCCGGGTGTCCACGCGCCTCATGGCGGGAGGGACGTGAGAGGCCGTCCAGCCGAGGGCTGTGTCACGGAGGGCGGGGCCTAGCCCCGGGGCGTACGGGACGTGGGTTTCTGCGGGAGGCCCCGCCTGCTCTCAGAGTACAGCGCTCCTGGGTGCTACTCACAGTAAAGGATTTCGTAGTCCCCGGAATTTGACACGAGGAACTGCGAGTTCACAGACCAGTCCAGGTGGGTGATGAAGCTGGAGTGACCCTGGGGGAGAAGCGCAGCGTCTGAGTTTCCTCGCCGTGTGCGTCCCGGCCCTCAGTGCGCGGGCGTCGGCGGCCGCCTGCAGCCGCGTCCGCGAGAGGCGGGCGGCTTACCGAGCACTTGCCCACGCGCGTGTACTTCCTCCCGTTGTCGCTGACTCCGTAGATGTAGATGCAGTTGTCGTGGGAGCCTATGGCCAGGAAGTTCCCATCTACAAAGGCAGGACACACTGCGTTTCCACTGAGAAAATACACATGAGATCAAGCAAAAGGGGCAACGCCAGGTGCCATCAGAGACTTAGGAAAACTAGCCACATTGATGAACGATTTCAAAGAGAAAATCGGCTCTGAATGACTCCCGTAAACACGTCTATGTTTTGAAAGTCACACCTGACCAGACTCTTGCCCTTGTAAAACCCTCCCCTGGCCATCCCCGCCGTGAAGGGCTGGAGACTCAGGTCCTGAGTGGGGCCCACGAGGCCCCTGCAGGCTGTGGCCACGTCTCTCCTCGTTGTGTCCTAGGGTCTCTCAGGCCCCCCATGCGGCCCCTGCCTGCCTGCAAGGCCCTGCCTGCCCCAACTCGGGGCACGCTGCCCCCGCACCCCCGCCTGATTGTATGGAAAGATCAACCAGATAGACACATCCTTAACTAGACTGACTAAGAAAGAGATAAGACACAAATTGTCAGAATCAAGAATAAAGGAGGCGACTTCACTACCAAACTCAGAAAAATTAAAAGGATTGTAAATACATATTAGGAAAAATTTTATGCCAGTAAATTAGACAACTTAGGTGCAATGGGAAAATTACCAAACCTGACTTAAGCAGAAATCAAAACTTCGACCAGTCCTATAACAAGCAAAGGAACTGAATTAGTAACTAAAGACCTTCCCACGAAGAAGAGCCATGCTGGCCACTGAACTCACACGGCCTCTACCAAACATCTCATAAAGAAATGACCCCAGCCCTTCACAAACGCGTCCAGAAAGTGAACAGAAAGGGGCACTTTCCAGTGTCCTCTGCAGGCCAACAGCCGTCTCATAACCAGGCCAGACCAAACCGTCACAGGGCAACTGCAGACCGATGTCCCTCAGGGACACGGACGCAGAACCCTTAAGAGAATGTTCACAGACAGAATCCGGCAACAGGTAAGAAGGACCAGACGTGACCACATGAGGTTTACACCAGGAGCGCGAAGATGGCTTAACCTCTGAAAACTGATGTAAGGCACCTGTGAATAAAATAAAGGACAAAAACCACATGATCCTCTCAACAGGCACAGAGAAAAGCATCTGACACATTCTAACACCCATTCACCGTACAAACGAAACGAGTGAGGAGCAGGAGGGCCCGGCCTCACCGTGATCAAGAGCTCCTGACGTCACACTGAGCGGTGAACGGCTGTGTTCCCTCTGGGACGGGGGTGAGGCAGGGGCCCGCTGTGCCCCCCCATCCCTCACCACACTGGGGGGCCCAGCACACGGCGCAGGGAGGGAGAAATGAAGGCGTCCGGGTTCATGAGGAAGAGAGAAACCGTCTGTATTTGCAGAGGACGCGCTCCCCATGAAGAAAATCCCAAGAAGTTTACGCACAAAAAACCCACTAAAGCGAATAAAAGAGTTTAGAAAGGTCACAGATATAAGATCTATGTGCGAAAAAAATAAAATTTATTTTTCTATGCTAGCAACTACCATTCTGAAGACAAAATTTATAAAAACTTCATTCACAATGGCCTAAAAAGCAACCCAGGAAAAAGGTTAACTACAGAAGTGTGAGACTCGGGCCCTGAACACTGTAAAACGTTGCTGATAAAATTAAAGATCTAAGTAAGCGGAGGGATGCTCTATGTTCAAGCAGGACAAGACTCAGTCTTGTAAAGACGGCCACTCTCCCCATACTGACCTATGCGTTCAACATATTACAATCTTGGTAGGTTTTTAAAATCAGAACTTGACGAGCTGATTCTAAAATTTACATAAACATGATAAGGACCTAAAATAGCTAAAGCAATTTTGAGAAAAAACAACAACAACAAAGTTGGAGTAATTACACTATTCAATTTCAAAACTTTAAAATTGCAGTAATCAAAACTGTGTGGTCTTGGTATGTGGATAAATATATAGATGAATGAGAGAGAACTGAGATTCTTGAAATAAACCTTTATATTTACTGTTAGATTTTTTTACTAATAGATTTTTGACAAAAGTGTCGAGATAGTCCAACAGGAAAAGAATTGTATTTTCAACAAAGGCTGCTGGGACCACTGGGTATCAATATGCAGAATAAATACACCTGGACTCGCACCTCTCACCATCCACAAGCATTAACTCAAAACGGATCACAGACCTGCCAACACACAACGGCCAACACAACAGCTATTCTAAAAGAAAGCACAGGAGAACCTCCTTATGACCTTGACTATGGCACCATAAGCAGGATCCATAAAAAAAAAAAAACCCTGATAAGCCAGACTTCCTCAAAATTAGGGCTTCTGCTCCAAAAGAGCCCATTCAGAAAACAACAAGACCCTGGCTGGTGTGGCTCAGTGGCTTGAGCACCAGCCTGTGAACTGAATGGTAGCTGGTTCGATTCCCAGTCAGGGCACGTGCCTGGGTCTCGGGCCAGGTCCCCAGTGGAGGCGGGTGACAGGCAACCACACATGGATGTTTCTCTCCCTCTTTTCCTCCCTCCCTTCTCCTCTCTCTTGAATGAATAGATAAAATCTTTAAAAAAGCGTTACAGGACAGGAAAAGACAAGTCATACACTGAGAGAAAATGTACAACTCACAACTCAGTAGTAAAACCCAATTAAAAACGGGCAAAACATTTGGATGTGTTACTTCATCCAAGAAGATGCAGACACGTGGAAAGAGGGTCAACATCTCCGGCAGTCTCGATAGAGACGTAACTCGAACCCGGCGCGGTGCCCGACACTCCCACTGGGGGGCGCTGATCCCAAAGGCAGATGGCGGCAGGTGCTGGCGAGAGCGTGGGGAAGCTGGCACCAAACACGTTGCTGGTGGGAACGTGAGGTGGCACAGCCGCGCTGGAAAGCAGGTGCGCCTTCTCACAAGATGCGAACGTAAACGTACCATACGATCTGCCGATTCCACACCCGCCACGCCTAGCAACTCCCCAAGATAAGTGAAAGCAAACGTCTGTGAAGGGCTCACACAGTGGCTGTTCACAGCAGCGCCACTGACAGTAGCCACGGCACAGAGGCCGACGAGTGCCGGTCAACTGAAGGACGGGCCAAGTTCGAGCGGCCCGCCCAGGGGAAGGGGCTGCTGTCCGGGAGCTACACAGGAATGCACGGGGGTGTGAACGGGGGGACGGGGTATGAACGGGGGGCGGAGACCTGACCTGGGGTGGGGACACCCAGCACAGCGTGCAGAGGATGTGCCACGGAACCGCGCACCTAAAACCTGTATCATTCTACCAAGCAGTGCCGCCCCAACACATAAAGAAGGAACCGCCTACTGATACGTGCACAGTAACCCGAATTAATCTCAAACACATCATTCTAAGGACAAGGAGCCGGACAGATGTCACAGGCCACGTGCCGTACGGCTCCACTGACACGAAATGTCCAGAGCGGCTCAGGGCGTGCCCGGGGCCGGGGGTGCAGGTGGAGGCTGTGCTGAGCAGGGAGGGCACTTTCTGGGGTGCTGAAAAGGTGCTGACGTCGGACTGGGGCGAAGGCCGCGCAGCCCTGTCGGTGTGCCGAGGACCAATGGTCGTGCACGCACACACAGTGGGCAGATTACTGTGCGCGAGTCGCACTTCAGCACAAAGCCGCTGGACAAGAGTCTCCTCTTTCTGAGGCTCAGACAGCCATACTGACAGAGCAGATGTCTACGAATCGCTTCAAAATAGCACGGAGGGGCCGTGGGTGGGGTCGCAGGTGGACAGGCCAGGCCAGGGGTCGGCGACCACCGCAGCTCGGGGTGAATGCGAGGGCTTTGCCACGCTCTCCTGTCCTGTTCTGCTGTGTGAGATCTTCTGTAACCGAGGGTTAAGAAAACATGCAAGCGTAGTGACCCACGAGGGAGAGAGAACCCTAAATGCCAGTGATGTGCGTTCAGATTTCCTTCCGGGGCGGCTCGTGACATTGCTTCCGCGAAGACCCCCGCAAGGACTGCCGTGAGCCTGCTGGGGCCGCGCCGCGCGCCCTGACCTGGCGAGTACCGCATGACGGACAGCTGCTCGTTCCCGTCCGTGTGCACCGTGACCAAGTCCCTCGTCTCCGTGTCGAACACAAACCACCTGTTGCAAACGTGAGACAAAGTGCAAAAAGCTGCTTAGTGGGGGGTGCCGTCGGACTACTCCCGCACCCGCAAGGCTATTAAAAACTATTAACCTGAGGGCTTAATAAATACTCTGCGTTTACTTAACAAGAAAGCTTGTTCCCAGCTTTGGTTTAAAGAACATTTCCTGCGTGTGAGCATTTCCTGAAAAGGAACCGCACGTTGGCGACTACTCGGAATGATCCGGTTACCGGCTGCAGGCAGCAGCAGCAGCCGCGGGCCCACCTGCACAGGTGAGGCAGGACTGGGCCAGGAGGCGGGGCCGGAACCACCTCAGCGGCGGTGCGGTTCCCAGCTGTGCCGTGTCTGACCTCCGTGAACGCCGGTGCGCCACCGGCCGGCCGGGGGAGAGAAACGATGGAGAGAGCGCAAGACGAGCGAGCAGAGGGCAAGTTCGCCTCTCTGAGCTCAGTTCCCTCCGGCAGAAGACAGGGGGCAGGAGCCAGAACCGCCCTGCAGGCCGCGTGTCAGACCTGTCACGTCACAACAGGTGCAGGGAGGGTGAGTGTGTGGCCCTGCGCTGCACACAGTTTCACGAAGAAACCCCTCAGGTACGAGGTGCCCAGCCCTTACGGTCCTGCTGCCGGTGACTCAGAAATGGCTGCCCCTTCTTTACGCACGCTCTGCAGTCACGACAACAGACTCGAGGTGCCCTGCTTTCCAGAGAGGAAGGGCAGGAGGAGGTCACCAGAAGGGTCTGAATTAAGCCATGGGGGTGCCCATCCTACGACAAACAGCAGGAACTTACAGAACCGCGACGACGAGCACCCCTGCGCTTGCCTGCCGGACGCCCCGGCCGGCGCTCTCTGCACCTGGTCCCCTCCATCACCAGCGCCCAGCGGCGAGGCAGCTCGTACGCCCACGATTTATAAAAAGCAGCAAATGCAGAGAGGTTATGCGACTGGCTCACAGACGCACGGCCGCCAGGTGGAGAGCTGGAATTCCAGCACGGACCCGCCGCCTGGCCTGCCGGGGCGCCGGGTCAGGAAGCGTTCGCTGAATCTAAGTAGGAGGCGCGGGGCCCGGGCAGTTGCTAAAATTTTGAAAGGGCAGCAAGAACAAGCATTTTAACATTCTCAGGGCTTGGAAATGCTCTCCTGCCTGGTTCTGAAGTCGGGGCTCCTCCCATCACCTGCAGAGGAGGGCTGCAGGCACCACACATGCCAGGAAACTGGACACAAGTGTGTGCATGTGTGCACATGTGTGAGCACACACGTGCCTGTGTGGGCACATGCCTGTGGGTGCACTCTGTGGGCACTCCTCCCGGGGAGCAGGCCCTGACTCTCCTCGGATCCCCCGGGCCCGACATGGGGAGGACCCCGTCTCAGTTTCCTCGAGTCTGACCTAACTGCCGGGCAGCCATCGGACGCTGCAGACGCAGCCAGAGCTGCTGCGCGCCTGCCCCGGAGACACAGACAACACGCCTCTTTCCGTGACCTGCGGGCCACGCTGCTTGGACTTACCTCCCGGTCAGTGTCCCGACTGCAACCACAGACCCTGAAGGATGAAAACCAGAAGACTGAGCTGGATCCTAAAATATTTTAAAGGAAGTGTAAATTGATGGCCAGGCACAGCACTACCGCATAAAAACACACAGCCCAGCCCGCGTCCCGCAGGGCCGTGTGGCCCCATTTAAAAAGCTCTTCTCTCTCCAGAGAGAAACATGTTTCCCTGCCTGGACCAGGCTCAATTTTTCTGTTTCTGACTTTCATCCTGTTGCAGCTGCAGCAGCCGGACCATTGGGACCAAGAAGGGGTGCTCTTCCGCTGGGTCTCGGAGCCGCACAGTGGCCCCCCAGGCTGAATGGTGCATGTGCACTCTGCCCGGCCACGTGACCGCCACCCCCGTCCAGCAGGTGGACTCCGGGTGGGTGCAGACGCCCCGCAGCCCCAGGCGGGTCTGAGAGGAGGAAGACATGTTCCAGGGTTCGGCCTCGTGGCCCACACGCGTGTTCGGTGCTGCCTGATATGAGATGGAGCGTGGTCGGTGGAAGAGGTGGGAACAGGCTGTGGGTCCCTGGAGTGGGAAGGCAGACCAGGCCCGTCCAGGAAGAGCCATCACGGGTGACGGTGGAAGTGGACACACCGGGACTTGGGGATCAGGTGCTAATGGGACAACAACATGGTCAAAGAGGCGGACTCGGCCCAGCTGCGGCCCAGCTGCGAAACGGCAGGCGGGCTGGCCGTGCAGAAAGCACGGGGCGGGGGACGGGACAGTGTGCGGTGGCACGGGGACTGTGGAGGGGGTGACTTGATCTGCCTGTGGGATGGGGGTCCCTTGGCAGGGGTGTTTCGGACAAGCTGCAGTGAGAAGGGGTTGATCACGGATGGACCAGGGGAAGCGTAGCCGTGGAAACGGAAAGAGGAGGAGCCGTGGAGAGACTACGGATAAACCGAAAAATAAGGGGCCAGCTGCTCTCCAGGGGCTGACTCCGCCACTGCGATGCCGTTCGCAGCGGGGGGGTGGGGGGGGCTGTGAGTGGGCTCGGGCTGCCATGACACACAGACAGAAATCACGGCCACCTGAGGCTCAAAGGTGACAGAGATGCAGACACCGAGGCTCAGGGGGTCCCGTCTGAAGTCACGCGGGCGGGAGGAAAGCAGAAGGCACTGAGCCTTGGGTGTTTCTGGCGTCTGGTTTGGCGCCTCTCCCCTTGTGCCAGGTGGATGGGGTCACCAGTCTGCTCTCGGCACGGCTGCTGCGCTGACCGAGACCCCGGGGAAGCCCACCCTCCCAGAGGGCTGCTGTCCCTGCTGCATCGGTGGTGGCTGTCAGGTCTGCACACACCCCTCAGGTAGTTTTCACCCATAAAGCCCCCTCCTGGGCGTAGGTACACGGCAGGGCCCCACCTCCTCCAGCCACACCTGCCACCTCGGGCCACGCCCGTTCTGTCCTCTGAGTGGCAGGCTCACCCCTCCGGCCCTGGCCGCCCCTGCTCAGCTCCACCGGTGGCCGGCCAGCTCTAGTCCCTCGGTGGCCTTCTCTGGAAAGCAGGAGGGCTGACCCTCAGGCCGGGGCATGCCGGCAGCTGTGCGGGGCCGCGGGCAGGGGTGCGGGGTCTGGAGAGGGGACACCCCTCACGCGGGAGGGTGCGTGTCACCCGGGGGCAGGATGTGCGTCGGACCCGCGGCGGCGGCGTGAGCACGGGAGGGCCCTGGGTTTGGCAATCAGGCCGGGCTGGGTGCAGACACTGGCTCTGTCGTGAGCTCAGCGACCGGGGCCAGTACGTGGGTGGCGTCTCGAAGCCTCGGGTTCCTAACCCATGCCGTCAGGGTGGAGAAACCCCCCCTCGCAGGGCGGCTGCTGGGGCGAGGCTGACGAATTCACGCACGGTGCTCAGCGTGCGAACAGAGCGCAGAGCGCGCAGGCACGGCGGCGCCGGCCCCGCGGGAAAGCACGGGGTTGGGGGGGGGGCACTCCGCTTTGTGCGCACGGAGCCCCTCTGGTGAAGGTCGCAGGGATGCTGACGCCGACACTGGAGCTCTGCCTTTATCGCCGAGCTGGGGTCGCAGAGACACACCGCTCATTCCAAAGGTGCCGGCAACAGAGCGCAGGCTCAGAGCCGGGGCTCCCCAGCGGCTAAGCCCTCGGCCAGGCCGCGCCCGGGAAACCCAGCAACCGCCTTGGAGGGCTCCCCACTGCCCAAAAATTCAACAGCCCCCTGCAGAATTACACGGGTGAGACCTCTGGGCACTGTTTAAAGCGACACAATTTAAAGGAGATCGATTAAGTGACCTTTGTTTTGGGGTAACTCTACATCACGGTTAATTTCACGCAAGTAAATAAATACACATATTCCAGGTGGACCTTCACAAGGAAAACGGAATGTGACGTGTACGTCTACCTCTATGACTTTGTCCCAGAGCGGCCGGTGACCGATGGCGTCCCACAGGGTGGCATGTCTGTCATGCCCGCAGGTCAGGAACTGAGGTTTGGAGGCATGGACGGCCAGTCCCCAGAGCTCATCCGTGTGACCCTACAAAGCAGCAAGACAGACGGACGCTGTCTGAAACACTCCGACCAGCACGCAGGGGCCCTGAGGCGACCTGCCGGGCTTACCGCACACTTTATCCCCGACCTCGTCCGTCCCCCCAAACCTCACCAGTCCCCCCACCCCCACTTCCGCCGGGAGAGCGGACCGAAACCCTCGAGGCTCAGGGAGGTTGTGCTGGGGTGAAACACAGGGTCATCTCCGCCTTGTAACGCTTTGTTCAGTTCTGACGTCACAGGACGTGGACGTGCCTGTGGCCCGGCCGGGACCCACCTGAGTGATGGCTGCGAAGTCCCCGCAGAGTGTGCCCTGGAGGACGAAGTTCCTGGTCGTGCCTATCAGGATCACGTCGCCCTTCCCCTCGGCCACTGTCCGTATGGGACCGAACTGCTCTGGGACCTGCGCGGGAAGGACCGGAGTTGACGCGGACGATCGGCTCCGGCGTGCAGAACACGTGCGTATGTGTCACCACGACAGCGTCTGTCACGGTCTGTCTCTCTCTCTCTCTCTCACACACACACACACACACACACACACACAAACACAAACACGCGGGAAACGGCTCACTCTTGGTGCTTGTGGAGTGAACGACCAAATCTCGCTTTCAAACTCCAAACATTTCATACACCTTAAAGGAATCGGCAAGAATTACAGCTGTTTAAAAAAGAATAAGGAAGGAAGCCCTCTTCCTTGACAAGGTTACAAAGCAAGGAGCACTGGAGGCCGGCTGCTCCTCCCCGGTGAAGACCCAGAAGAGCGGCAGGGCGGGCAGCAAGCGGGGTTTGGAGGATGAGGGGCTGGCTCGTGTCACAGGCCATCACGACAGTTCCTACAATTCACTGTCACTTAAAATGGTGAATTTTCTGGCAACTTCACTCCGTTTAGTTTTGAAATCCATCGTTCCCGTTGGTAAACATGTGGAATCATGCACACGTTAAGAAAAAAAAAAATTCCGAAACGTGCCAGCCGAGGACCATTCGCTGTGCGAGCAGACACGGGGGCCTGGGGCATGCTGGGGCTCGACTCCGGCGCAGCTCTGGGGCGGGAGCAGCAGCCCTGCTCTCCAACACCTCCCAGCTCCTCCGGTGTCTGGGGCGGGAGCGAGGACAGGGGAGCGCAGGCCCGGCCAGTGAGGAGGATTACGGGTACACACGCATGGTGAGCATCTTCTACGAAACTGGATGAGGCTTCGGAGCTTTCGGTATGGTTACGACCTACCACGGGTACATGTTCAAGCAACTGCTGGTCAAATCTCATTATAATGTCCACTGAAATCTCAGGGAAAGGGGAAGTGGTTTCCAAGCTCAGGTGAAGGCCTTCCTTTACTAAGAGCAACAAAACCAAGTTCTCCTACACCAAAGCGCCGGGCCAGCTGCTCTCTGACGGAACAACGGGTGGTGAGCATCGACTCAGCGGCGGGAAACCCGCTACAACGGTCCGCTCTCGGGGGCGGGGGGGGGGGGCGGGCGGGGAGAGAGACCGCCAGCGGTCAGGTGGGTGCTGACATCTGTCTGCCTGTAATTTCCGGGGCCTGGGGGGAAAAATTCACTGAGTGCATAGAAAAAACACTGGATTTCTTGCTTCTGGCTCCCACTGGTGCGCAGGCTGCTAACCAGGTACTAGGAGGTGAAACAGACGCTCAAGGACTCGGAGCACGGGAGACTGCGGCGGCACTCAGCCAGGTACAGAGCAGACGCTCAGTAAATAATAGCTCAAAGTGATAAAGTCTCCAAAGTATCACGCTCGAAATGAAAGTGATGAAAAGGAAAAAGATTGTAATAATAAATCAAAATGTAGATATTCCCTGGGAAAAATGGGATTGATTCTATTATAAAAACAGTCTAAGTGTGAAATATGTTACCACCTCAAATTTTATGCACTTACTGTTATTTTGCTTTGTATAATGTGCAGTATTTTGCCCAAAGTTTTGAAGGAGAAATAAAGATGTGCTTCGCACACGGGTATAATGATTATGAACCATGGGTATAATAGTGGGCATGATTATCCTGTGCATAATGCACACAAAAACGTGAGTGCACTGTATACACAGTGAAATACTGTAATTCCATTTTCATGGTTGTACTGTAGCTGCCCCCGTGATTTTAATAAAATGTTACATCACTCGCCCTGGCTGGTGTGGCTCAGTGGGCTGGGTGTTGTTCCACACACCGAGAGGTTGCTGTTCTTCTTTTTTTTTTTTAATAACAAATGGATTATTTCAGAATCCAAAGTCTTTTTTTTAAAAAGATTTTATTTATTTACTTTTAGAGAGGGGAGGGAGAAAGAGAGAGAGAGAGAATCATCAATGTGCGGTTGCTGGGGGTCATGGCCTGCAACCCAGGCATGTGCCCTGACTGGGAATCGAACCTGCAACACTTTGGTTCGCAGCCTGCACTCAATCCACTGAGCTATGCCAGCCAGGGCTGAGAGGCCGCTGCTCTGATCCCTGGTCAGGGCACAGGCCTGGGACGCAGCCAGGTCCCCAGCTGCAGGTGTACGCGAGGCCACGGACTGATGTTTCTCTCCTCCTCTTTCGCCCTCCCTTCCCCTTTCTCTAAATACAAATAAAATCTTAAAAAATATATTATCCCACTCAATAAAATTTTATCTAAAATAAATTTTCAAAATGGTATATGCTAGAGGTTTCAAACCAACAAGGAAGCTGGTTGGGGTAACAGTTTAAGGCTCAAAACAAACTTCGATAGAGCTGCCCACTGCCTTACCTCAGTTTTATGAAGTTTCTGGTAGTTTCCATTCCAGGAGATGAGCTTTCGGTCCTTGCCTCCTCCCGACACCAGGGTGCCGTCCCTTAACATGCAGAGTGCGAAAATGCCGCCCTCGTGGGCCCCCTGGATGGCGTAGCTTATCCGGTTCGTACCTGAGCACACCAAGAAAACCACCCTTAGCCCCTCGGGGGGGCTCTCCTCGGCCGGTCTTGTTTGAAAGCCGACACTGCTGGTGAGACCACCACTGCGGTGCAGGTCTGCACAGGGTCTGACTTCTGGACGCGCACAGAGCACAGGCTGGGTCACAGGCTGGGTCACTACTGTGCAAGGAGGGAACACTCGCTAGTGCAAAGCACGTGTGACGGGAACCGTGGCTCAGAGCAAGCGAGAGCTTGTCTCACGAGCAGTGTCTCTGGCCACCCGACGCAGCTGCCCTCTGCCACGGGTCCCCCTTTCATGCCCCGCAGGCCTGCTCTGGGGGCGAAAGGAAACGACCTTGAAAGCACCCGGCGCCCAGAGTAGCGGGGACCCACAGAAGTCACCCTATTAGTCAGAAAGGATGTTGCCGGGTCTGTTTCGACCTCCGCTGCCAGTCAACCCAAACTCTAACTAAGGTCCCCGAGGCTGGGGATGGTGCTCCTTCTCTCCTGGCTCATGGTAGGTGAGCCCGAGGCTCCCTGGGCTGAGCTGAGTGTCTTCTGGGTGACGCCTCCCCCCTCCCACTGCCTGCTGGCCGGCAGCGGGGCTCGGGTCGGACTTGCATGAGCGCCCACAGCGTGCAGCGCACTGCTGTGTATGTACTGGTGCTCGAACGCTACATGACCCAGGACAGTGGCTTAAATATTTCACAGCTGAATAAACGGTCACGGGTGACTTCGTCATCGTCATTTGTTAATACATTTCCTAAGAGATGTATTCATCCCATTGTAACATCTTGGGCTTAACGGGCCTTTCAGAATGACAACAAACCACGACTCCTAAAGTCCCGTGTTCCTTGGCTCTGGTGTAATGGTTCCAGGCCACACACGCACGCACGCGTGTATGTACCTACAGAACCTGGCGTTTAAGACCGATCCTGTGGGAGCTGTGTCAACGGACAATTCTTACCGAAGTCATGCTCGATTGCTCGTAACATTGCCAAACCAGTTTGAGTGCGGAACGATCACGTGTTACCTTTCCCCCACACCAAGATGTTGCCGCTCGAGTCTCCGGTAATGGTGTCGCCGTTTTCGGAAAAAGTCACGCAGAGGACAAACTTTGGCTTTTCTTGCTTCTGCAGAATGTTGTAAATATATGTACACAGGTGTTTAGTCAAGACGTCCTCCTGTTTCATGAATACCACCTAGACTCGCGGTAACCCCACGAGGGACGGTGTTACCACCCCGTGCGCCGTTCACTTCTATCTGCCGCTACGTCGCCGACGCCGCGAGGCCCTCTGCTCTCCCAGCATTCCTGGCCGTGTGAGGCTGCAGATAGCGCCAGCCCAGGCGGGTGGTGGGGGTGGTGGGGGGGGCCAAGGGGCAGGCTGCGTTGTCGCACCTACAGCGTGAGGAACAGGGTCCTGGCACCAGAATAAAGGGGTCCTCCACCTCAGTCTCTGGGCGTGGCTGCAAATGTCGCCCGAGAGAAGAGGTGCTGTCCCCTGGTGCTCTCAGAGGCCCCCGACTGGCCAGACTAAAAGGCACAGGGTATCCTGGCCACGGTGCGGGCCCGCTCCCCAACTCTAGTAGGGGTCTGGGAATAGTCTTTGCTGCTACACCCGCACACGCACCCCCACACTGGCCCGGTGAAACGGACTCTAAGACCAGGTGCCTGAAAGCCCCCTGATGACAAGCAGAGCCAGCTGACCCAGGTACACGCTGAAACACCAACTACAGGTGCAACTGAACTTTACCTCGAATAACCCTTGCTTCTTAATGAGGCAGTTTCCTTCTAGCGTCCAGAAGTAGAGGTGTGATTTTCCACAGGTGACTATGATGTTGGTGTCCGTGGGGTGGAAATCCACGGCGAACACGGCTTCATTGGAGCACTGGGCAAAAGAGGGGGCCGGATGGCTCAGGTCTTTTAGGACCCCACGGATAAACCGCACTGTTGGGCACCCGCCCTACTGCACTGGATCTTCCCCACTGACCTGACCTTCTGCAAACACCGAGCACACGTTTGCTGTGGCCTTAACCTCTCCTCGCCTGCCTCGCCCACCGGACAACAGCCCGAGGCCACAACATGGGGCCCTCCCTCCGTGAGGACCCGTCCACCGCAGGGGGTACAGAACAGGCCTGCGGCGGGCTTGGGAGCGGGGCAGGGGGTGCTGCACTGCGAGGGGACCTGGCTCTCCCCTTCCTGTCATGGCCGCCGGCCCCGGCCGGACAGCAGGCTGGCCGTGGGGCATTTCGTGCAGATGTTAGGCCCCTCCCACTGTAGTGACGGGAACCTCTGGGAGGGGCCGGGAATCTGCACTCCGTGTGGCTCCACTGCTCCCGGCCCACGTGGGCCGCCGTGTTGGCCCCGGGATCCCTCCCGGTCTAACTGCTGGGACTGGCTGATGGGCCGGCAACCAGGCCAGGGATCCAGGTCCTCGGGTGACTCTCGCTACCCTTCAGCCTGGCCGGATAAATGAGACCTGCCTGCTCCTTCTGCTGCTAACTCAGTTGCACCTTCTCACACCCGCAGAGCAACCTGCCTCTCACTACCTCCAACCTAGCGCCGCAGCACGCACTTACTCGCGACCAGACTGCGAGAAGGCGAGGCTCCAGCACGAAACAGGCGTTAGGAAAAGGGACTAGCGTGCAGGGTCTGCATCCCGGGGTCGCAAGGGAGGTGACCCACCAGCTCTCCCCACAACAGGAAAGGAAGGCGACCCCCATGGGAGGGCAGTGGGACTACCTAAGGCTAGCGGCTGCCAGGACGGAACTAAAAAGTCAGTTCCGCGAAACAGGCCAAACCACGATGTAATGGGAGGAACGCATGAGGACGCATGCGCGGAGCTCGCTGCTCTATTGGGCAGGATGGACAGGAGGTGGGGCAGAGAGGACACGCCCCTCCCTCCCGAGCTCCGGGCCCCAAAGACAGGGCGGGTGGTGCCTGCCTTCCCTGTGCCCAGGCAGCTCCCTCCCGGCCCCTCACTGACGGGGGCTGGGACTGGCACAGCCTCCCAGCACCACCAACCCTCCGGGGCCTCCTCGACGTGCAAGTGCACGGGGCGTTTGTTGAATGAAAGGGAGAAAAAAAATCAACGAATGAGCGATGGAGTGAATCACAAGGGCGGTGGCTGTGCAACGAGGAAGGAAAAGCCTTGCAGATTTCGTGGAGAGAGGAAGACACGCTGCCAGGACTTGGGCCTGGCATCCTGGTGGGGGGGGAGGGGCAGGTCAGAGCGATCTGGGGGAGGGGCCGCCCGAGGGCTGCCTTGGGATGGGGACCCCAGAGCCCACCACGAAGCAGGAAAGCGGCCAGCAGCCAGGGGAAAGAGAATGAAGGCTCCAAATGGAAAAACCAGCACAGCCAGCGTCGGCCGGGAGAGAGACCTTGGCATCCGCCAGGCGCTCCTCCCTCTGCCAGTCCCACACGGACAGCACGTGGTCGTTGGAGTCGTCCACAGCACACAGGGTGCTCCCTCCATTCTGGAAAAAAAAACAAAACGCGTGTTCACTTGAAGATCACACTAGAGAACAAGAGAGGCTGAGCACGATGGAAAATGAACACTAATTTTACTTTTAATCAGGACTGCGACATTTCAGGTGAAGAGTATTTACTGACCGCCTCTGAGACCTGCCTGCTTCGACAGATGGACAAGGGGAGCGGGTGAATGGGGAGGGGGTGGGGCTGATGAAGGGACGGGAGTGGGAGGGGCCAGGGGCTGGCTCTTCCCCAGCGGGGCCACTAAAGGCAGCCTCCGAGGGGCCGCAGGGCCTCCGCCCTGCACAGGAGCCGGTGCCTGCCGCACACGCAGCACACACAGCACACGCCTGGTACTAACAGGTGACTGAAGGGTTGTGGGAGGAGCGAGAGCACTGGGGCGAGGGGTGTGCTGCCCGGACGTAAGCACAGACAGGGGCCCCGGACATCCGTTTCTGAGCCGCCTGAAGATGTGGTTGACAGGGTGGATCTGGGAACAGCAGGCACGTCTGGAGGAAGCGGGGAGACCCCCCCGGGGGCCGTGCGGCTCCTGTTAGAGACAGGGAGCCGGCCCCTGTGAGGACAGCAGGGGCCTGCTGGGGCCCCTGGGGGGGGGGGGCAGGGGAAATGCAAGGCCAGAGCGGGCGAGCTGCCTCACGGAACCTGAAGACGGCGGGCTGCAGGGCCTCCTGCCGCCGGCACACGTGCGTGGCTGGGGAGGTCCGGTTGGAATGGCGACCTCTGGCGGAGGGCCCGGGGAAGCCGGAAGAGTCAGACCTGCGCACACGGCTGGGCAGTGACCTGTGCACTGACGCTCCCCCCAACTCCGCCCCCCGGCCGCCTGCTCCCTGGGAACAGAGAGCACCACCCTCCCGGCGCCGACTTACCGACTTAGAGAAGGCAATGCAGGTGACGGCTCGGTCGAAAAACCCAGTCCCGATGACGTGCAGGGTGTTCAACGTCACGGAGTCCCAGATGCGCACGTGTGGGGGCAGTTGCTGGGGAGAGAGAACACGCCACGCCCTCGTTGTGACGACTGCACATCTTTGCTTTGGAGCTACAAGACTACTTCACTTCTGTCCAAGCAGAAGCTCTCTTCCTGCCTTTCTGAATTCTATTAACATGGAAGAAAGAGTCCCGCTGTCCCCAGGGGGCCATGACCCCTGGGCCAAGGTGACCTTAGGGGAGGTTGCCAAGTTGTAATTTTGAACAGCCCATGCTGGGTCGCACAGGGATGGTTCTGCTTCTACACCTGGACACCCCTGCATTTAAAAAAAGAAATGACAAGGGGCATGGAATCTGGGACAAGGCTTAGGCTATGACGTTCGTGCGGTTACCAAGGTGAGAGTGTGAGTGCGTCACTCAGGGTGGGCCACCACCCGCTGTGTAAAGCGCTCCTCGGGCCCCACAGGAGCACGGCAGGCAAGCAGTCTTGCACAACGAAAACGAGAATTGTTACGGTTTAGTGCCACACTCTCTATGGAGTTCCAAGGTGATTTACACTAATTTCGCTCTTTCTCAGCAGAAGCAAGCACTCCAGGACAGTCGGCAGACCTGTACCTAGAGGTCAGAGTGCGGGCAGGTGAGTTAGGTTCGAGCCTGGACTCGTCTCTAAGGGGCTGGGCGGCTGCAGACAATTACGTGACTCCTCTGATTGCTCTCTGCATGGGGCGCGAAAGGAGAGGTGCCGGCAGCCACCACATTTTCACGGGCTAGAAAGTTCAGATGGACTTCAATGCCAGAAACTGAAACACACTTTTAGTCCACTAGAGGGAGCAGATGGCTTGCCACTAATTTCAAAGAACTTTCAAGGTCCTCTTTGCAAAAAAACGACTCTGTTCCACTTATGTGTATTTATATAACAGTGGTCCGATTTATTGTTCCTGTTACTTCAAGTGTAGCATTTCAATGGAAAATAGCATAAAGTTAGTATTTAAAAGTTGATGTTATTGAACTATTTGCTGAAAAACGGTAGCACTCGTTCGCTGGAGGAAAACATGTTGATAAAATGGAAGCATTTCATGTGGTTGGTTCAGATCACATATCGTTCAGTAAGCAGACATACTAAGGTCGGTATCAGAAAACGACAGGAGTTTTGGATATGACAGGACAATGACCACAGCCTGTCCTAAACAAGGGCCTGGGAGCCAGTTTTGAATTGTGGTCTATTTGCTAAATTCCACCAGTTCTCCTCTGATTGCCTCCAACACCAGCCAACGCCTTGCAGAAGAGCCGGCAGGGTTAGTACTAACGCCCCAGCAGCCTCAGCGGGTTGCACACACGCATGCATGCGCATAGACACGCTCCACGGGCTGACTGCAGGCGGACGGGTGGCAGGGAAAGGGCTCGAAATCACTGGGGGAGGTGAGAGGCCCGTATTCAAATGATCATTGACTATGATTTTAACTTCACTTATTAAATGTGTGTTTCATATTTTCATGTTTATCATGCATGTAAATTTCTTAAGAATTAGCGAATTGTTAGACAAGAACAATGTTATTTAAAAACTGGCTGAAATGAAGCTAAATTCAAAGGGTTTTTAAGATCACTGTAAGGATTTTGGTTCACAGTAAAACATTCTAATGAAGGGTTAAGAAGTGTTCAGGTGCTTGACACCTAGGCAGGCCTGTTCATCAGCAAGACGTTCCGCTGTGTGGCTAGTGTGTGACAAAAACACGAGAGAGGCTGCAACTCACTTTGCCGTCCTTGGACGTGCCGGCGACCTGTCCCGTGGCTATCGTGATCTTATCCGGATGGACCGCCAGGCTAAAAAGAATCCACAAAATAGCTGCTGTTTAAGGGTAAACTTAATTTTTTCCTTGATCAAGTATAATCTCGTTGACAGTTTAAAAATAAGAAAGACACATAATGCCCAACTTCCTGCAGACTCACAATAAACTCTCTGAGGACCCCACTGACGCGAGTCAGTTAGAGCTGATTACATTTCATCTTCACCTCTACATCTCTAGAGAATTTTCAACTCAAGAATAAAACCTTTTTCTTTTTCTTGGAAAATACCAGTTCCATCTCAGAACCATTTAATTAGTCTGAAAACTTTATTAAGAAGTCATGTTGAGTGTATCAAATAGCAAAGACATCCTACAAATATCTAAGTCCATCGTTCCATCCATCCATCCGTCCGTCTGTCCATCCTTCCAAGATACATAAAACCCCACCAAAAGCTATGAATATGGGAACAGCAGACCCAGCCATAAACAAGAGGCAAGACATTTTAATTTTTATTGAAAAATAAACACCGAAATTAGAAGCCATTGGCACAAGATGCCGTAAGAAGGCTTCTAATCAGGGCTCAATTAGAGCTATCGGTTCAGGCAAGACGGCTGGTTGAGGTTATGAGTCGTAAAGACAGAAAACTGAAAAGGAGTCTCGGGGAGCCAGGGAGCTGGCCGGCAGCACAGAGCACGGAGAAGAGCTCTCTCATGGACCCCACTCGCTCAGGCCCCTTTGCTTCTCTGGCCCTCTGCGCTGACAGTGCTTCCAGGGCGTGGCGCCAGCCAGAGCCGGGGGACTCACCACTTCACGTCGTCGTTGTGGCCGGCGTAGTGCCTCTGCAGCTGCTCCTCCACGTTGTACAGCACGACCACAGACGCGATGAAGTACACCGTCTCGCCCGTGGGCAGCAGGTACAGGTTGTTCCGGCAGTCTCGGCCCCGGTACCCGTAGCTTCGAGTGTGTCAAGGCAAAAGACTTTTGTTCCTCTGAAGAGCTGACAAAGCGTCAGCTTTATTCAACAGGCAATAAAATTCAGTAGGCGATACAATTCTACAGATGACTATTACTCTCAGTTTCACAAGTTCAAATAGCCTTAAATTGTACAATAAATAGTGCCAAATAGTTCTAACTCCCTAGAGAGGCAGTGGAGTTGGAAATGGTCATTGATTTAACGTGAGTACATATTTTTCATACAAAGATGTGGCTTTATTTTTAGAAAGCATGTATTACATTTTGAAAGTGGAATTTTTTTGGCTTGACTAAAAATGGTAATTAACCTATTTTATTTACTAAAGGGAACTAGACCAGACATTCGTGAAGTCACTGGGAGATGAACTCTTTTCAATTCAGCCAATTAACCATGGATCTGGGAAGCACCTGAGGGTCAGTGGTTTTTTTGTGGAGCTGCTGGAATTTTATGTGGGTCCTGATTCCTCACACCCCCTCTGCCTTTAAACGTGGCCGAGCTGCCGCTCTGAAAGGCTGAGAGCCGCAGTGTTCTGCTGCACGGCCCCACCCTGACTCTGGGATCAAAGTCCCCCGAAGTTGTATTTTGATGCTGGACCACCTTGCACCAAATTTTCTCTTTCCTTTCCGCTGCCTCTTGTGTAACATTCATCTGCAGTTACCATGCTTGCTCAGACCTACTCAGCTATCGCGAGAGTTCACCGAGTGTTCACTTGCCTTTCCCTCCCAAACCTCTGATCTCTGGAGGGGGAGGGTCTGGCCCGGGACCTGGAATTAGAAGGCGCAACAGGGCCACCTGAGTCTGTCCTCCATCACCTCTTCACGTTGCTGTCATCTGGGGACACAAACTCACACCTGGGAACCGAAATGGCCGTTGCGCTGTGGATCGTTGAGAGAGACTTGGCCTGGTCTGGGGTCACGACTGGGAAATCAATCAAATCTCTACTCTAGTTTGTATCACTTGTAGCTCGTATGGAAAACAAAATACACCTGAAAGTGGTTAAGTAACTACTGTTCCAAATATGGAGCAGTGGGGTTATCAACCCTAGTCCAAGAAAACACTTCAAGCTTTGTTGATTTTTTAAAAAAATTTAAAAACTATTTTATTGTTGTTCGATTAGTTTCTGTATTTTCCCAAGCTTTGATAATTGTTTTAGAATATTTTTAAAAAATTTAAGACACTGATAATTGACTTTAATATGTTTAAGTCAATTTAAGTTTATTTTTAATTGTAATCTTGGAGCTAAATCTTTTTTCATTAGAAAAGTACTGGTAAAAGGTGCAAACCACAAATACACACATATACGAGTATATAAAAGTTTTAAAAATTAGGTCCTTCATCCAACCATTCCAAGGTCCTTAGGATAATTACCTGTTAAGATTTTGGTGTGTATATTTCCAAACCTTGAAAACTATTTTGAGAGGAAAACATGTGAACTTACATGTGAAAAAAATAGCCTAGCAAAAAAAATACCACTTATTTGGAGCAAATACCACTGTTTTATATCTTCTAAAATCACTAGAAAATAATTTTGAGTCAACAATTACTGACTCACGGAGAAACTAACTGAATCACTTCACTTCCGCGCACTGAGATAAATACCAAAATAGGTGCAGGAGACGCTTCTGACATCTGAATCCGAAAAAATAAAAATATATTTTGGAGGGAGAAATTTAGGTACAGATGATAATTCTAAAAAGTTTCCAAAGTATATGATTCCCTAGTTTCAAATACAGTAGCAGTTCTTCTCAATGTAATTACACCAACTTTAGTTTAAACCCACTTTGTGTCATTTGCATTCAGGGCTTTGCATTAAACTGGCAGTCAATAAGTATTTGTTTGAGGATGAATTCAGGATTTTTGCTCTTTGTCTTAAAACCTGCATGGCCTGGAAGGGGGCCTTTGCAGGCTCCCTCCAAAGTAAAATAAAGCAGTGCAGCGAAGCGAAAGTGGACTGAGAGCGAAGAGTGGAAGTAAAATACAGTGGGACAGAGAAGTCCACACGTAACCCAGCCTTTTCCATGGCTCTGTTGTCCCGTCCTTCGGGGCTTTCTCCTCGGGACTTCACTTTCCGAATCTCCTGCTACGCGGGCACCAGGTGCTCCGTCTCAGGAACGGTAGTCACGTGGCCGCCTTGGACCCTTGTGGCCTAGGTTTTGAGGTGGGGGAGAGGCTTCCCGTACTTTCAGAGGGGTGTTGCATCTGTGCTGCGTGGAGACTTCGTGCGGTGTGTGGGTGTTCACTGCTCTCACCCCCTCGGCGAGGCCGGGCTAGCCTGCAAGTGGGGCTCCCGCGGCCGCCAAGCCCTGCTCAGTTTGGGGGGACCCGGGTCCTTCCTCCTAGGCTGTCGTTCTTCCTTCCTTTCAGCTTAGGAACCTCCTGCCAGCACAGCGTCACTCTCTGATGGCCTCACTTTCTCATTCATAAAGAGTTCAGTGTTTCCTCGCATCTCGGCTGCTGTCCCCTCGCACAGCGTGAAGCCGCAGCCTTCCCGCCCGTCCCTGGAGAGCTGACCGGGCGCAGGGCGGCTACGGCCAAAAACAGTCAGCACTTCCAGCTTCATCAGAACCTCAGATCCTACGCACTCGGATTAGTTCTGCTAAATCTGCTTTTCAATTAAGTTTTTAACTAACTTTATTCTGTTGGAAAAATTAAAATCCAAGCCAGAAACGAGTTAACGCATTTTCCCACAACTCTCCAAAAACATAAAAAAATCGCCCAGCCAGCCACCCAGCGGTCAGTCTCCCCTTTCCAGGAGGACGGTGTCTGTGTGTCCGAGCGAGGACCACAGAGCTCCCCGGGGAGTGAGTGACCAGCCGGTGCTCTCCGCGGTCACGAGCTCCTAGTCTCCCTGGGTGTTGATGAGTAGCCAATTCTGTTAAATTATGCTTTTTAAGGGGGAGCGTTTGTTTTTAGAAGCTTAAGAGGACTTAAGTTTTATGAGTTTCTATAGTTAAACATGAAGCCAGAAGCCCGAATGGGCCGGGGACCTCACGGAGGCCGGACAGACAGACGGATGGATGGAGGATACACCCACTCCAGCTTGAGCCTCTTGGGCGGGAGGTCCGCCTTGGCCTCCAGGCTGTAGGAGTCCACCTGGTCCCTGGGCAGGTACATGGTGACGGGGCGGCCGCGGAGGAACATCTTCACGTACCCTTCCTCTGCAAAGGGAACAGAGAGGGCGGTGAGCCGCCCGGGCCCCGGCCCCGGTGCACGGATGTGCTTCCTCCAGGCTCTCGGTGGAAGCTGCAGTCCTCACCCTCTGCTGTCACTCCTGACACGTGTCTGACTTCCCCTCACGTACTTCTGACACGCTGCTGGCTTACGTACATACAATACAGAAGAGTGAAAAACAGGAAAGAACTAGGTTCTATTTGTGTTTCATGAGAGGTTTTGATGCTCACGTTTTCTTTATTGTAGCGATGGGAAAAAATGGCATCCCTCCCAAATTACAACTAACACAAGAAATCCGCTGAAACTTCTTACTGAGTTCAATGGGCACGTAATTTCGATATCAAACTCATAGATACCCTTCGATAGTTAAATGATTTGTCATACTGCAATGTAAAAATGTATCTTTGTGTATCTTTTACGTTGGACACCCCAAATCAGCAGAAGTACACGCCAGGATGCATGCAAAAAGGAAAATGCTCAGGGGAAAAAAAAGGCTAGAAATGGAAATTGAAAGAGCAGAAGGCCCACTGGAGAGAAAAATCGAGAAATAAACTTTCTAGAGCAAGTGTTTTCTATGATGAAATGTTACGAGTTATGGGTTATTTTATCACAATAACTTGAGATGCCTTAATACCTTGTGGGGACAGAAGTGAGACCCACTAACACCCCAACCCGAGGCAGCACCCGGACGGACGTCGGAGAGAAACAACTGGGGCTCTCTGGCCGCGCTTCCGGGGCGGAGCGAGGCCGCAGCGAGTTCCGGCACGCTCCCGACGGGTGCGGGTTTGGAGCTCCCTGCGCTCGGCTGCCTCACCGCGCATCCAAGGATCCAAGGACCAGGCTCTCGTGGCCCTCGAACGGCCGGGCAGTCGGGACCAGGGAGACCCGGGGTCACGCCACGGAAGGCCCATCCGCGGAAGGGGAGTGGTGAGGACACGCCACGAAGTCATCACAACACCGTTAGGTGCCACCGTCACGGATTAGCTTTGTAAGTCTCACTCCGGAAGGGGTTCCCACGATGCCGCATGCAACGCTGCCCGCGCAGCCGGGGGCCACCGCAGTGCTGTTACTGTGCACACACTGCAGGCCTCGAACGCATGCAAGTGACACACTCTCCGTTCTGCCAGTGCAGCTGGGCTCGGGACGTGAGACAGTGCGCGTTCACTCCTGCACCGGGGGCCAGTCGCCGCGTTCTGGGGACCCCCGTCAGAAGGCTCTCACGGGGCTCCCTCCCCCCGGCTCCACCGGACCAGGCCACCAGAGGCCCCGTCACAGCAGCCTCTCTTACTGGCCCCTAGGCCACCGTGTAGTCCGCCGCCACACCCATGAAGGCCAAAGCGGGACTTCACGGAGCCCCCACCGAAATCCTGTGCCCGTCTCTTGCTGTAGGCCAAGGTCCGACCGCCCGGCCCGGCCACCCTATGTGGGTTCTCCTCTCTGGCCAGCGCGTTGCTTTGCCCCCTACGTGTCTGTCTTGCCCTGGGTCCCCACGCAGGCTCTTCTCCTGGCCTCCACCCGCCTCCCTCTCTTACTCCCTCCCCCGGCTCCCAGCTCATCAGACGGGGTGGCCCACTGACACACCCAAAAGCGCCCAGCAGACTGACAGGCGTGAAGGGAAGGGCCGGCGTGACAGAGCTCGAAGTTAACTCAGAGTGACCCCGTCCGCCCCCTCGGCGGGGAGGAGCAGAGAGCACCCAATGCCGCTTCCGCAGCACGCACGGGGCCCACGTGGCTGGACTCAATCGGTGCGTATGCCTCTAATCAAAGCACAGCTGCTTGTGCACACTGCAGTTAGGTGTGGCTCACGACGTCCTCACGGCACGGCGGAGGCTGACTGACTCCGCAAATCATCTAAGCGACTGCGCTGGGCAGAAGGCACCGGGTCTGGCCTCGGCGTGGTTCCGTGCTGGTCACCCAGACACCCTACATCTAAAATCAGAACGCGGCGAGGGGAAGCCACGGCTCTTCCAGGCGTGTTAGGAGGACAGCACACAGCCACCACACGCAAGGCACCAGGCGCCGGGGGACGAGGCCAGCAGCGGTGCAGGACACCGTTTCAAACAGTGGGCACCCGGGGCGTATCCTATAGCTCTCTTAGGTGTACACAGGTTTTGGAAGTTCCTGTAATCGGCCAATAACCAATCAAGATCCACATGGCAGCTACTTATTCAGACCCAACCGAGTCGATGCTCGGGCGCTTAGCTTCAGCCCAAGTGGCCGGCCCCGCAGAGACACTCTCACGCAAGGAGAGGGCCTGTCCGCCTGCATGAGAGAAGTCTGCGGGGCCTGGGCCACAGCTGTGCCCAGAGAGCTACGAGGTTCCGGGGAGGCGGCCTACCTTTGCAGTGTGTCACGCGGCGCTTCCCTTGGGATTTCGGAGACAGAGACAGAAGGGCTAGACAAAGAGACGTGGAGAACTGCGGGGGCCTGCCTCCCTGCCTGCCTGCCTGCCGCGGGGCGCTCACCACCCGCGCTGCAAGACGCCCCCTGCCCCCGGCAGAGAGACCTGGGCGCGTCTCAGGGACCCCCACAAGTAAGCCTAGCTCCGCAGGCTGACGGTCAGTCACTGTCAGGAAGTCCATGCTTCCTGAAAATGAAATAAACACTAAAGCTCTTGCTGATAAACCCCACACTCTGACTTCCGTGTTTCAATTCTGAATTAGAGGGGAAATCTGGGAAGACTAAAATCAAATGAACGGATTTAACGAATTACCTACTTGTCAGTTGTTTTGTAGTTCAAGTGCGCGTTTAAGTAAGGCTGATATTCTAAAAATAGCACCTGCCTTCCGTGAAATGTGCTACAGAAAGATCCACGGAACGATCTCTGTGAACTACCAGTCTGCAGGTCAGGAAGTCAAAGGCAGGGAGGGAAAGGAAAAAGGCTCCTTTCGGGCAAGTTGTAACCTGCTGCATCAGAAACTCTACTTTTCAGAGAAACGCAAGTATCTATCGGTGGCGGGAGCCCGGGCGCGGGATGGACGGGGCAGCAGAAGCTGCCGACTAGACATCCCCAGCAGGGGGTCCGCCCCCGCGGCCCGAGGCCACCTGCAGCCCAGAGGGCCGTGAAGGCGGCCCAACGCAAAGTCGTAACTTCACTTAAAACACCATGAGATTGTTTGTGTGATTACGTGTTGCAATGCATTTCACGTGTGGCCCAGAGACGCCAGGAGGCTGCACACCTCCGCGGCCTACGGCACTGGCAGTGGCCTCCCCGCTCCTCCCTGCTGACGGCCCTTGAATCAGCTTTCAGAGGGGGTCAGGCAAGGTCTAGTTTTCTGGACCATTTGATGGGCGGTCTCTATGATCCAGGCGGCGAGCCCCCGGGGTCCCCAGGGGCAGGCTGACAGCCGGCCCCCGAAGTCCCGAGTGTCAAAAGCTGGCCCCCAGAGCGGCTGCCTCTCTGCCTCAGGTCCCCAGGGGGTGAGCGAGGGGCACCCGCACCGAGGTCACGTCAGACTTACCCGCGCTGAAGACGGGCTCCTTGGGTTTGCTGTGGAGAGAAGAAGACCAGATTTTAAAGGGAGGCGAACCGCCCGCACCTGAGACCCACGCACGCACAGCCGCGAGCTGGTCTGTCGCACGGGGGCCAGGTGAGCGGTGCTCCTTAACAAGAACAGAGCCCAGGGACCACACAAAGGAGCGGCCGTGAGCCAGCGCCCCAAACCGGGCGTGGGAGGCCGCGGTCCCCCTCCACCCCACAGCTGGGCCTTTCTCTGCAGAAGGAAAGCGTCTGGTTCATCGAGACGGCGGCCGCCCTGCCTGAACGTGTCCAAGGTGTGGTTTCTTCCCTGTGCTCTCCTGACAGAGTGTTTAAAAAACTTACGTAAAACTAGCGGATTCCTGACAGAGGACGCTTTGGAGGGGAGTAGGAAAGAATGGGGGCATCTCATCGGAAGTGTGGGGACCCCACTGTGGACTTCGGCCAGGCTGAGACCACCCCCTGACCACACGGGAGAAACCAAACCCCCAAAACCTTTGTTTGAGGTCAGGCCACAGATGGACTGAGGTCACCCCCAGGGGCAGGCTTTCCACAGGGCAAGCTGGCAGCAGGAGTCCGAAGACCAGAGGGCACAGCCCTCCAGTGACAGCCACCGGAGGGGACGTCCCCCTGCTAGATGGAGAAAGGGCGCTCCGGTGGGGCAGGAGTGTGCCTGTTCGGACACAGAGCCGGTGCTGGACCCCGAGTCCGCGCGGCTGCAGCGTCCACGCCTGTCCTCATAGGGCCGCCGGCTTCTCAGGTGGCCCCCTGCTCTCAGACGCACGAGGGACATGGACAAGTGCACCCAGGCCCGAGGGAGCCACGTGGGGCGTGAGCCAGCAGAGGAAGGGGAACCTCACGGGTTCAGTGTGTGCTCACACGTTTAGAACACACACCTGAGCAGACAGCGCCCTAATACCGCTTTTCTCCCTCACTTCTAACGTGAAACCCTTTGAGAGGCGCCGCCAGGAGAGCCACCCTTGGCCGCGTGACACATTACTCAGGGGGCGTGTGAGGAGGTCCCCTGCGCCCGGGGCTCCGGACCGCTGAGGCCCGCAGTTCATCACGTTGAACTTGGTCGGTTTAAAACAGCTGCGGTTTCGTAGACTGCCTGGCTTGTTCCCCTTGTTGGGGGCGGGTGGGTGCGCGGGGGAGGGTAGCGACGTGGGCATGATTTTCCAGGCGGAAGCAAAAGCCTTCACCCCGAGTTTCCTGTGTTCTTAGATCCCCAGGCGGGCGAGGACACAGGGACCCGGCGGGGGGGAAAGCTGGAACAGGAGACGGCACGGCGCACGGCACAGGGACGCCCGGCAGGGACTCGGAAGACGGGAGGCTGCTCTTTCCGGCACGGCTCCAATCACAGGAGGAGGAGGAGGAGGAGGAGGACACGGAGCCGCACCCACAGAAACGAGCCACCCAGCACCTGTCCTGGGGCACAGACCGGGCAACGGCGGTGTCCGCCACCCTCGGAGAGAGAAGTCTGAGGGGGGGGCCCCCGAACGCCAGCACGCGGCGGCCCACGGGCTCCCCTCGCTGCGGCGGTGCAGGAGGAGGAGCGGGGGATGGAGGGGGGGAGGAGGCCCCCCACTGCGGGGCAGAGCAGCCAGCCTGTGCTGCCACCCGAGGGTGCCCAGAGGGGCCGGGGGCTCGGGCTCTGAGTGCTCACGTCTCCTGACGCTCGTCCTCAACGCTGCGTCGTGTTCCTCTATTACAGTTAAAAACATACGGCTGCTATGCTGCATCATTTCAGAAAGTTACATTTGTATTGAAAAAAAAAAAACAACACTACGTTTGCTTTAGCACCCCTCATTCCCACCGGTGCCCCAAGGGCGCCCGGGAGGAGGCAGTTCCACGCGCGTGTGCAAGTCTTACAGGGGCACACCTGTGACAGGACGACGAGTCTCGCCAGCCACGGGGGGGAGGGCAGCAGTGACCCGACACTGTGGTGCTCGTCACCTCCACCGACCCGGAGCCACCCCCCGGACACGTGCCCTGTCCAGGGCTCGCCCTCAGGAGCGGGCCCTCCGTGCCCAGCAACCTGTGCAACGTGCCCGGGCTGTGAGAGCGCCTGGGAGGCCGCCTCTCGGGGTGCGGTGGGACTTGTCTCCGGTCACCCAACTCCTCAGAGCGGGCTCCGTGGAGAGATTCGGCAGCCCGGGGGTGGTTCCGTGTGGGCGGGGCATGGGCTCTGGGACCCCGGGAGACCCCGCCCACCCCTCCCTGAGTGTGGAGCCCGAACGGGCGCTGTCACTCTGCCCAGAAGCCTGTGAGAGAAGCCGGTCCAGAGGAGAGGAAGGATTTCCCCTCTGGCGAGCACCCCGTCCTCTCCTGGCTGTTCTGACACTCGGCTGCCGCCAGTGTCTGCAAAGTGAACGGTGTTGCAATCCCCGGCAGTTTTCACTGCTGTGTGTTGGCAGGAAGGGGGTCGGCTGGAGGAGCTGGCTTACACTCCCCTGGACGGGTGGGTTCAGGAGACGCCCTCAAGTCTCCTGTAAGCTCTAAGCAGGAGCTGGGGACTCCGGGAGGAGGAGGAGGCAGGTAGCCTGGGGCCTGCGCCGGACCGGTGGCTGGATCTGGAGGCGGCAGCAGAGAACCAGGCAGCTGGGGCCAAGGAAGACCACCCCCTACTCACGCCCACGAAGCAGCCACAGCCGTCCCAGGCACGCGTCCCCGAACCCCGGCAAATGTTCCCCGTGGACCTGGGGCGCAGGGGCCGTCCAGCTGCGGCCGGTTTCGCTTTCATCTGACGGGACACGCACTCGCCGCGCCGCGGACTGGCCGTCTGGGACGGGTCCAGCCCCGGGTTCCCGAGCATCCACTGCCCTCCTCTCCCAAGGTGCCCGAGTCCCTGAAAGGGGGCTCCGGGGGCTCCGGGGCCCGGCCCCACGCGCATCGGGCCCGACACGCAGGGGCCTGTGCGCAGGGATTCGGAGCAGAGGCCCGGGTGGGCGGGGCGGAGGGGGCCCGCAGCCTGCTCCAGCAGGGACGCCTGCGTTGGAGGGTGACAGACGAGGGCCAGCCAAGGGGACCGCTCGCCGCGAGGTCACGCGTCCTGTTCCCCGGAGTCTCAGCCGTCCACGAAGACCTCAGCCCTCGGGCGCATCCACGCCTCCCACGCCTCCCCTTGGAAAGGGTTTCCGTCCAAGGGGTAAAACTCCTGCTGGGAGTCAAAACGCTGTAACGCTGTGTCGGCGAAGATGCTTCACATACATTGTCCCAGGCAGCTTTTTACTAGAAATAGGGTCATTTAGGAAACACCCATTTAAAGAGTTTAGAAGTCACGGCAGACTCTATTGCGGACAAACACTGCGGCGTCCTAGACGCTGCCGCCGATGCTGCCAGCGCACCTTGGCAGGAGGGGCACAGCCGTGGCCTCCGCCAGCCGTGGTTTCCCGTGGTTTCCTGCAGCTACGGGGACTTGGGGGGGCCGCCGCCGCTGAGAGGCACGGGCTTTGGCAGAACCGACCAAACCGAGTGGCCCAGCGCCCAGGGCGTGGTTATCGAGTAGCCTGACTTCCCTGTCCCTCGTTTCACCGACGAGAGTCGGTGTGCATTTCCGGGCTGTCCACCTAAGAGCCTCAGAACCAAACAACATAAGGAATATGAGCAAAATAAGAATAAAAATAAAAATTAAAAAATTTTAAAAAATGACAAGAAAAGAATATTAGCAATTACTATTTTAACATTTATTGAAGGATAAAGGACCTCAGGGCCTGAAGAATGAAATAATTTCGTCAGTTAAAAACAAAAAGGCCTAATTGGAATCATTTAATTCCCACAGCAATCTGTTTCAGAATCCGAAATGTAGTGTTAAAAAATCATCCACCAATAGGTGGTAGTGTTCACATACTTCTTAAATGGTTTTAAATTAAATACATAATATCCTTTCATCCAGTCAACCAATATTTACTGGGCAATCACTGTGCCCCCAGCTCTGCGCAAAATTGGAGAGACACAGAGTGAGAAGTGCCGCGGTTCCCCGTCCTCCAGCAAGTGGGTGGGGGCGGGGCTGGGGGGGCAGGGGAGTGGGTGTGGGGGTGTGGGGAAGGAGCTGCAGGGCCAGACCCAGCGGAAGGGCAGGTCCAGAGCCGTCTGACCGGCACTGGACTCAGCTGGAGGCCCAGGGCAGCCCCCCAGGGAAAGGGGCTCCCGAGCACCTGGGCACCTGGACACCTGGGCCGGGCCCGGACGGGTGCGCTGGATGGAGTTCCTCCAGACTCACCTGACCACCCTCTCCGCCGAACTTCAGACACGTGCAGGGAAAACCCTCCACTTGCTAAGTGCTGGCAGGTGTGTAATAATTCGTCAAACTGTGCATTTGTGTGGGGGTTTCTTGGTATCTGTGTTTGATTTTATAATAAAATAGTTTTTTTCTAAATATACTTTTTTCTTACTTGGGTTGGCGTTTCTTTAAGACTGGGTTTGATCATCTTTCCGTGAGGTAATTGGCGTTCCTCTTTCTCCCTGAACCACCTGATCAGACTCTTCCCCGTTTTTTAATTGGGGTGTTGTCTGTGTCCTCGCTGGTCTGCGCCGAGTCCTCTGGAGACGAAGGAAGTCGGCCCTTCTCGGTCACACGTGTCTCCGACGTTTGTCGCGAGAATGAATCCGTGTGCACAAACCCTTCCACTTAACCCCCAAGCCCTGCCTGCGCTGTGCTCTGCGCGTAGTAGGTGCTCAGTCAGTGTGGCAGGGCTGTGGAACCGCGTGAGCAGGGTACAAGAAATGCCCAGAACTTCCGATCCCTTTCTCTTCCAGGTGGGGTGGGGGCAGAAACAGGAGACCCGGAAGATTCCGAAACGTCCCCGAGAGGAGAGGGACTTTCAGACTGGGAGGGAGGGGGGCCCGCAGGGCGCGCCCCAGCCCCAACGCGGTGGGAGGGGAGGGGGGCAGTCTCCGCGGCTGCCGTTTCCCGGGTGCCGACAGGAGGCGAGCTCCACGTGAAGGACTCCACACGCGTGACCTCATTTGATCCTCAGGGCAGCCCCGGGAGGTCGGGGCTGTTTCCACGGCACCGAGGGAAACCCCAAAGACGGGAAGTCACCCGACCACAGCCACACACCGGAAAAGCGGCGGGGCCGGGAGTAACCCTTGGTTATGGCTCCTTCGCCCAGCTGGTTTAATCTTTTTTTTTTTGTTATATTGATCGGGGTGAAAAAGATCCACTCAACACACATTTACCGAGCACCTACTATGGGCCAGGCATTGTTCCGGAGGGTGGGCTGGCCGGGCCGTCCCGGAGAAGCCCCGTCGTCAGTAACCGGGCATCAAGCGAAGTGCGTCTGCCCAGAACGACCGCGACCCCCTCTGCACGGCCCGCGGGAGTGTGTTGGCTGACGCAGAGACACGGCCGCGGAGTAAACGAAAAAGAGGCTTCCAGGACGCACGCAGAGAGTATAATTCACAGCAAAATTACACCCTGCGCCCTGGACACAGAACCAGATGGGACGTAAGGAAACGTTAGCTGCCCGTCCCCGAGATCAGAGGTGGCTTCCGCTTCCCCTTTCTCGTGCATCTGGTTTTCCTGAAACACGCGTTACGTGTGTAATAAGTAAGTTTCCCCCAGAAGGAACGAACGAACGAACGAACGAGGGAACCTCGCTGGGGACAAGCGGCAGCCGGTGTGGGAGAGGCCTGATCCCGGGGCACAGCCCGGCCCCGAGCCCGCGGATGAGGCTGAGATGGAGAGACCGCGCCAGCCGGCCGCGGTGGGGCCAACTCGAAAGATGCACAAACCCGGAGCCTCGAGGTGTCATTGGAGAGGCCACTTCGCCAAGTGCCAGTGCATTGGGGAGGGGGTGCTGCTGGCGGTCTGGGCCAAGCGGTCGGTGTGGGAGTGTGGGGTGCGGGTGTTTCCAGGCGAGAGGGTTTCCAAGGGGCCATTTCCCCACCGCAGACGCCTTCGTTATCAGTTTGATGTTTCTCTCAAACTATGTTGACTCCCAAGAAAGGCAGTGTATAAGTTTGTTACAACAAGGTTTCTAGCAGATGGCTGACACATTTCTTGTTAAATCAGGCCATTAGAACAACTTCTTAATGGAAACAAAGTGTTTTTTTTTTAAGTTGGTATGTCTCATTCCCAGCAGGATTACAAAGATTACGTTCCCGTCAGTTTATAATTGAAACAGTTTATCAGTCTAATATCTATCATGAATTGCGCATTCTAAATAGTAACTGTTTTTCTGTCTGAAATAAAACACTTTTTTAAATTAAAAAAATTCCTACTGGATTAGTATACTGGCTACATTAGATAGTTCATCAAAATGGTGTTTTCAATCCCTTATTTGAGTTTAATAAGTACTTCATTATGATGTGGATCACTAATTATTAATATTTATTTGCCATCAATAATATATAAAGTAAATATTACATTGCCATATATTGCTCTTGTTTTTTTTTCTGGAATTTTTGTCAGTGCAAAGATTGAGTGCTATTTATTTTGTGGCTTATTGCCAGCCAAGTACTGTAAGATGTTAAGCATGCTAAGATAAACGTCTACAATGTCACACGAAAGACTGTTAAATTCAGTGACCGTTTCCAAAGAAAATGGGACACAGAAGCAAGAAGACTGACACTATTATAAATAACATAGCTTCTATGAAAGCAAACCGTCACAGTTTTAAAATGAACTGCATCTTAGAAAACGTGAATGCTGAGATCTCCAACACACTGTTATTTAGGTTCAACGGTCCGGTTTGTACAATTTATACGGACTGGCTTTATGTTTGCTGTAATGACTGACTGAGAGATAGACACGTTGACCTGGAATGGTTTTTCATTAGGGAAAGGAGCCTTTTTCTAACTTTCGCCAAAGCACCCTGAGCGCTAACAACAGGCCTGCCCGTGGTGCGTGGTGCGCGAGCGTGTCACAGCGGAGGAGCGGGCGCTGGGACCGCTGCGTGTGTGACCCGCCTCCCCCACCAGTCAGGACGGCCCCGAGGGCACCCCCCCAGCATCGCCCTCGCTCACGGGCACGCTGACAAGCGTTCCCGAGTCGCACCGGACTTGCAAACCAGCTCATCCCTCTCCTGTTTTTTTGGAGATACGCGGCCGCCGTGGGGCCAGGCCAAAGCCTGCCCGTGCCCTGTCCCTCTGCATGTGACCAGTTTTGTCTCGCTTCCCCTCACAGCCTGGCTTCTAGGACGGGCACCCCAGCCCAGGGCCAAGGTCCCTTGGTTCCCTTTTTGTTTTTGATTTCGCCCCTCCCCTCTGACAACCAGCAGCTTGTTCGGTCTGTGGGTCTATTTCTGTTTTGTATTTTGTTGTTTTTTAGACTCCACATGAAGTGGAATCATGCGGTGTTTGTCTTTCTCTGGTGCATTTCACGAGCACGGACCAGCTCATGCTGACGTGACAACCACCGTGAGAACCGAGAGGACTGGGGACAGCGCCTGTCCACCTGACCACTTCTGGGCTTGGCCGGAGGCTGGGTTGAGGTCATAGTACTGACTGTGCCACTTAAGTGGATGCGATCCAGTGCGCGTCAGACAAGAAAAATGACCAATGACCTCCGAGGTCGCCTAGCGGCCCCTCACCGTACCCACGAGGGACACGAAGTGCAGAAGTCTGGACGCCTCGCCCCGCACGGGCCTCACGGTGTGACGGTGGCCCCCACAGTGGTCCCCATTTTCTGAGTGCCTCGCGCCACGCTGGGGGTTGTCCTACCGTTTCTCGTAGACGTGAGAGATTCAAGGGCATTAGACACAGAGCCCGGTTCACAGAGGGAGACACTGGGGCCCCGAGAAGGGAAGTGGCAGAACCGACGGGAAACCCCACTCTTCCTTTCACTCCAGAGCCGGCGCCCTCTCCGTGGGGTCTGGGCGCCCGCGCTCGCCAAAAAGGGAATCCTTTTCAAACGTAAGACAGCGTCCCAGAACCATGGACAGAGACTAGCGTGCCACGGGGAAGAGACCACGCCGTCCTGAGGCCACCGAACACCACCACGTTTAGAAGAGAGACTGCAACGGGCCACCCCGGCGCCTTCCCGTGCACGTCCCAAGTTCCGGGGTCCGGGTGCCGGTCAGCGAGTGAGCCTCTGGCATGGCCGCGCTGCCCTGCAGTGCACGGGCTGCTCACGGGCCACGGGGAGCAAAGATGGGGGAAAGGGGCAGGGGGCAACCGAGTCGCCAACTTGATCTTCACTTTATTGCTTCTTTGCTGCGGCTGCTTCCTGTCTGAGTCCCCTCCGCTGGACCCTGAAGGTGTCTGTCTGTCCCAGCCGTGGCCCGAGAGGTGGCAGGAACTTCCCCCGCTGAACCTCCTTAGGTGCGTGCAGCCCAGCCCGTTCAGAGCCGTGCTGGCCTCCACTAGTCCAATGGGGGAAAGGACTGATTTTTAAATGGGTGTGTTCGGTTGTTTAAATTATTCCGAGGAAACGATTAGTGAATGTACTCAGGCCGTCGTTTCCAGATCAAAATTTCCTACGGTGGCATTTATAAAAATACAAAAACCCCTTCGTAAGTATCTTTTGCGGAAATATTTACCCAGCCCATTGACCAAAGCCGTAGGATTTAAAAGATAAAACAGATCTGGAGTTTGCACAACGCAGATTCCTTCTGGAAATTCTTAATAAAACGCAGATGTGCGGAGAAGGGGCCAAGTCGCTACGGGCCGCCAAGCTCTGGACGTCTCAGGTCAGCGCGCAGGCCCTCCCTGAGTCCGCGGGCGCCGAGGCCACACCGCAGGCACGTCCCTGCGCTCACACTCCGCCGCCGCCGCCGCCGCCGCCGCGGTAACCGCCTGGCCCCATTTCCAGGGTATTATCACCCAATTAGCATAATCTTCCGATAAGAAGCAGTAACGGTCTGCATCAGAAGACTGAACCCACGTGAGTGGTTTTCGAGAGATTGTTAGTGGACCACGGACTTGACCTGCTCTAGAAGTGCTTGCTTTTTTCCTACAAAAGAGGGCCCTTCAGGAATAAAATTGAAAACGCATTCGAGCTTCCTTCACAGGACTGGAGCAGGGCGGATTTACGGGCTTGGAAGTTTCACAGCCTGTGGGCCGGGGCTGGCAGCTCGATGACTAAGCCTTTTCCCTACGTGAACATGGCGGGGGGTGGGGTGGGGGGAGGTTTAGCCTGTGAAGCTGAAATTCCTCCCTAAGCCCTGCTCACTCGAGAGGCTGCAATTAGAGCACAACGAATAAAAAGACAGAATAAAGTGCATTAGGTGTAATACACACAGAGAAGCCACTCTTGCGTGCACAACACATTCTTAAACATAAAAAGCAACTAAGTGCCCACGACCAGCTTTCACTCTTAAAGGGTCCCTATTAGTTTTACAGCTATCTGTCATAATCCACCATACGCCAATCTCAGAGAAAATCCAAAATTAGGAGCAAGTGCGTTCCCTGAATCCGGTGAGAAAACGGTTCCTACTTCTGGCGTGAGCTTAGTGTTAAAAACAGTTTCCGACCAACCCTGAAAGCACAACCTTTCACCCACTGGGTCGGTCGGAGAAAACACTGCGGACACACCCAAACCGCCCACTGAGATGAGCTTGCACATGGCCGCAGGGCGTGCTGGGAGACACCACGTGCCCCCCCCACGGAAACTCGGAGCAGCCGCCCAACCCCACGGAGCCGGCCTCGGCGGGCTCTCAGCGGCTGCTTCTGTGCGTGGGCGCGCTGGGGGCTCATGCTGCCCTTTTCTGCCTGGACGGCGACCGCCCCAGCGCTGTTCGACGGGCGCCCGCCGCGACCTCAGCAGAGGCCCAGGCGGCCCGAGTGCCCCGCCCCCCCAGCCTGTGTGCGTGTGAGGGGTCTGGGCTCACCTCTGGGGAAAGGGGGACAAGGTGTTGACCAGCAGGGGCTGTGGGTTCGGTGCCCGTACCTTTCGCTGTTCTTTTTGCCGCTCGAGGAGCTGCTGGTGGAGCCCGTGCGGTTCCGGTTGCCTTTGGGGTCCCCGTAGCTCTCCCTGCGGCCGCCGGGGGACACGCGTTCGGAAGAGCTGGTCCGCTTGATGGTGCTGGGGCGAGAGGCAAACGACAGGGAGGTCCTTAACAGAGCGATTTCATTTTACGGCCGAGTGTGAAATACATACACAGAGCACCATGTGTCCACATTCTTGTTTAAAAGACAGATTGGCCCTGGCTGCTGTGGCTCAGTGGATTGAGCGCCGGCCTGTGAACCGAGAGGTCGCCGGTTCGATTCCCAGCCAGGGCACGTGCCTCGGTTTCGGGTCAGGTCCCCAGTAGGGGGCACGTGAGAGGCAGCCACACATTGATGTTTCAGTCCCTCTCTTTCTCCCTCCCTTCCCCTCTCTCTAAAAGCAAATAAATAAATAAAAAATCTCCGAAAGATTGGTTCTCAAGTCCTAACTACAGAGATCAAAACACTTTTCAGAACGTCACTTGGACCCACTGCTCTTGTAACCGCGGTGATGAGCGCAGGTCAAAGTCTCGGAGGAAGCTGAAGGGTGAGAACCCCCACAAGGCTGTGCGAGAGAGAGCCGCGAGGGCTCAGCGGGGCATGCCCCTGCACTCGAGCAGGCCTTAGCGCAGACGAGCGGTGCTCAGCCAGGGGAGGCTCTGCCCCAGGGGACAGCGGCGATGTCCGGAGGCATCTCCGGTTGCTGCGGCTGGGGGAGAGGGCTCCCACCGGCGTCCAGTGGACGGAGGCCGGGGGTGCTGCTCCATCCCCAGTGACGCCCAGGATGGCCCGACGACACAGCAGGACCCGGCCCTGGGCATCAGTGCTGCCGACATTGAGGAACTCTGGTCTGGAGGCACATGCGGGACGGACGTGGGATGCCACAGGGGGTGACAGAGCACGCCCCCCTGCGCGCGACACCACGCGGAGGGGCGGTGCCCAGGCTGGCGCTGAGCGTCCTTCTGACGAGTGGGAGCAGGGACCCTGAGACAGACGGTGAGACCAGCAGGGCCACGTGGCTTGAGCCGTCTGCAGCCAGCTGGAAACCGAGCGATCTCATCTTCCCTGACCACGGACACTGGAGACCAAGTGGCTCACACCTCGGTTCCCTGGCCCGAGAGGGAGCAGCTGGTCGGGGAGACAGGCAGCAGACACCCCGTTAGTGCCAGCCAAGCCCAGGGACGGGGAGAGTCAGGGAAATGAACAACAAAACAAAACAAAACAATAAATAAAATAAAACCTCAAACCCAAGACAGAGGCGAAGCTGATCGGGAAGTGACCCTGGAGTGCCAGCTCGCTGAAGAACACACCTGAAGGGAAGCGGAGGAGTAGTCTGTGCAGACCCTCCCCCAGGACCTCCCCCAGGTTCCGGCCTTCGGAAAACAGGTAGGAACCCCTCAAACAAAGGACCCAGCTGCCCCAGGCTCTCTCTGGAGCACACCCTCCCCTTCTGACCCCTTCTGTCTTCAGGCAGGAACTCACTTTCTCCTCAACTCCAAGGGTGTCCCTCTAGATCTGCAGGCTGGGGAGCAGCAGCCTGTCCCGGGCTCACCCTGGGAACCTGTCTCAAGGCCCCCTTTGCTCCGACTTCCAGAGCGCTGACAGCAGCCCCACGAGGCCCACGTCTGTCCCAGAGACTCCCACGTCTCAGGGAGTCCGCACAGCCCCTCGGGGCTCACTCCCTTCTGCCCACGTTCCCAGAGCCAAAGCAGAGGGCCACCGAGTCACCCCCCCAACCCCACAGCTGCTCCCCCTGTCCCAAGTCCTTCCTCCGTCTCCCACCTCCAGCTGCAGTGCACACACTCGCAAAGCGTCCTGGACCCGTGCTGCGAAATCTTCCCTGCGTGAAGTCAAGAGCCCACACACTACCAGCTGGCCCGGGGCGGACCCGCTCCGGCCGGGTCCCTTTCCAGGGACAGAGCGGTGGGAAGCCCGGGGGACTGTCCGGGGAAGACCCCCGGAAGGCTGACTTTCTGGGAGAGGTAAGAGGCCCGCAGGTGCCGCCACGACGCAGCGGGGGAGCGCCGACGCACAGGCGGTCACGGAGCCGGGCGGGGTGTGGGCCGCCCGATCCGCTCCAGGAGCACGTAACTGTGTTACCGGTATCCCTGCCAAGTTTTGGAGTTTCCGTCATCGGCCATACGTTTCTTGAGACTTTATCTCATTTACTGTGCTCGTGAACTCAGTGGCACAGGAGCTTGACAAATGTCTATTAAATGAAGGGACACGAAGTGCTTTATTCTAGCACCTGCTCTAGAAGGGGGAAGGGAGAAGGGAGGGTGGGTGGGCGGGGGCAGTGGAGGGGAGGGTGGGGGTGGTGGCTTGGAGCCGGAGCCGTCCCGCTGGCCGTCACTGAACCCCGGACGTGGAGGGAGCCACCGTGTGAGCACGGGAGCTGTCGTGGGGGTGGGCGGCAGGGACCCAGGGAGAGAGAGACGGGGCGGAGGAAGCAAGCAGAGTGGCTGGCGGCCCAGAAGAAGATGAACGGGCAGGACCGGCCAGGGCGCCTGGGACAGAGGAGAGACGGCTGGGCTTCGGGGTGGGCTGGACGGCAAGACCGTGGCCCCCCCAGGGCCGACCTTCTACGGTCACAGGTCAGAGGTCAGATGGAGCGAGATCTCCCGTGCACGGGGCTCCTGCCGCCTCCGCCTCCACCTCTGGGGCTGCTCCTCCCCGGCGGCCAGCGCCCCCTCTGGCCAGCACCCCCGGCTCCTGCTCAGCCCGCTCCTTCCTGCGGGCCAGGGGCCGTCCCTCTTCCTCTGCCAGGCCCCTCTAAGCCCTCGGCGTGTTCCTGAAAACCCCCTGTGCTCTGGCCTTTGAAGACCGGGTCGCCCTCTGAGCAAGCGACATAAACGAAAGGACCCAAACCGTGCGGGCGTGAGAGCGCTTTCTGCAGGGGTCCCCACTGGTGACGAGGAAGCTCTGATTCACAGCCCCCGCGTCCTCCGGCCGGGACCGGCGCGGGCGGGCCTTAAGGTCAAACTGGGAATTTTTAGAACGTCCAATTTGGGGGCAAGGAAATTACAGATCTTAGGAGAACATGACGTTTCTGAGACTTGGGACTGAGGTCTGACAATTACAGAAACCTTTGTGCTCAGAGTTCAGGATCTTCCAATGACAACAAACATCAAGCTAATGTGACGTGGCGGGTCATTCTGTGCCCGTCATTCGGGGCTCTCAGGTCCCGGGTCCCCAGGCAGCCGACAGGGTCCGTGTGGGAGGGAGTTCACGGCAAGTTCGTAGCATTGAAAGACTGGGAGGGGGCTGGGGGAGGTTGCAGAGGGGACAGGGAGGTATATTGGTGACGGAAGGAGGGTTCATGAACACACAATTCGATGTACAGATGATGCATTACAGAACTGCACACCTGAACCCTAATACTTTTACTAACCAGCGTCTCCCCAATACATTTGATACAAATTAAAACTAGCCAACAGTCCTGGAGTGTTTCAGGGAGCGGTCAAGTTAGTGTCGGAGTCCCATGCCCTCGGACACCACGTCTTCCCGCTGCCTGTCCTTGCTGTGTGGGCTGCCCTTTTAGGAGGCAGAGGAGCGAGCTGACTTCTTACAAGACCTGGTGGCACTCCTGGGACGCTGGGGGATCTCGGCCAAGTCCCTGAAACTCTAGTCTCAGCTTCCTCATCCAGACATTGAGATGAGAAAATTCGACCTCTCCGTCGGATGACATGACCTGGAAAATGCCGGGAACAGAGACGCCCGTTTGACGAACAGGAGTTCCCCGCCCCTGCTCCTGGTCCCTGTCACAGACGGACTCTCTCGGCAAAGTCGGGAAAGTGGGGATGGCTCCTGAGGTCCCTCCCAGCTCAAATACTCGGTCACACAGAAAGTGCTGGTCAAATATAAATAAAAATATGTATAGAGCAGCCTTAAAGAGCCGAAAACCCAGTTCTCAGGCGGTTAACACGCAACCCCGCGGCCGGAAAAGTTAGTCGGGGACATTAACGATGGGCACCACGCGGCGGCCGCGGCGACCGGCACTGAGGACTCCGCAGGTCCCACGTGCCACCTGCCACCTGACGTGAACTCACAGAGCCTCTGCAAAAGTGCCGTCGCCCCGTTCCACAGCTAGGGAAACAAATTCAGGCTCCCCCACGGCCCCTGTCCTCTCCAGGGCCCCCCGACAGCGAGGCCCGCCTACAGTGTGTGAGAGCCGGCTGCACCGGCATTTCGAGGACCTGACGCACACCTGAAAATCCCACAGGGGCCAGTAATTAGCACAGTGACCTGAACCTGAGACGTGGTGAACGGGGGGCACTGGGAGAGGTCCCCGAGCTGGGCTGTCAGAGGGGCGGGGAGGCAGCCGGGGTCACCGAGTGAGCGAAGTGTCCGCCTGGCTGGGCATCTGCCTGCGCCGAGAAGACTCACGGACCTGTCCAGCCGCCGTGGGAGCCGCGCAGGAAGGAAGCAGGATGCGCGGGAGTGCAGTCCTCCAAGCCGGACCTCACCCCCACGCGGAAATGGAAACGTGCCGTGGTTTGCATATACAGACCTGCAACATGGTCCATCACAGCCCTTTCCAGACGCCTGTCATTCACACATTTGCATCGAAATGCAAAGCTATTTTTTAAAAAAAATCTGGCACTGTTGTATAGACAGAAAAAACAAGACATTTCCTTTTGAGAGCCCCCAGCGCTCTTAGGAATGAAAGAGGGTTTCCTAGGACCCCAAGTGGAGGACAGAAAACAAGGCTTGGAGAGGAGGCAGGGCAGCCAGAGGGAGTAGCTCTGCACAGTCGCCGTGGCAGTCGCCACGCGGAGCCTCCTGACACCACCGGCGGGGCTAGCAGAGAAGGTCGGCCCCCCCGGGACAGCAGGGGACGGGGCTGCTCTTCATCTGGAAGCCGCAGGGGCCTGGCTCTGAGGGAGGCTGCGCGGTCACAGGGACACCCTCTCGGTGCCGACCGCACGCGGAGGACGTCGGGTGCGGAGATGCCAGGCACCAGCGTTTCCTCCCCTTCCTCCTGCTCCCTGCTGCCCTGCCAGACCACAAGTGCGGGTCCTGAACGCGTCCCAGTCCTCACATTTCCCAGTTACACCTGCACGCAGTGGGTCTGGCCGACGTAAACTGCATCCTGGACGGAACGAAATTTCTGCCGTGGAACTTGGTGACCAGAAAAATGTGGCAATCTTTTTTTTTTCTTATGGTTTGATAGCTCTAAGTGTAATAAGCTATAATCATGTCTTTCCTTTGTATGTGACTTGGAACCAAGAACTGGTTTTCCCAAAATTTTGCAAATTAATCCCACAGTTTTTACAGTAGGAAAAAACAGAAATCAGACAGGTAGCTATTCTGTGTGATCACAGATTCTCTGATGACGTCATGGCAGCCGGGGCGGCTGACACTAGAGTGAAACAAGGATTCACTCACCTAACACTTCCTGGGCATTGCCCATACCCTGGGTGCTGTGCTGAGCCCGGGGAGCCCCCGGGGGACCGGGACTCTCCCAGCCTCTGTCCTACAAGGTGTGAGCAAATCTAACAGGCAGAGAGTGCGTGCTCCGGTGAGTAGGAAATGTGCTTATTTTTCACCGTCTGCAGACACAGCTCTGCGGCAGAAACCAAGTGATTTCCTGAGAAGCCTGGTGGTCTCAGAGAATCTGACGGATCCCGACAGGTGGTTTTTCCTGCCACGAGAAGCCAACTAACTACCTGGGCCCAGGGAGGAGCTGGCATCACCGCCGATAAAGGGGCAGGTGCCAATCCTCCGTCTTCCGCTCACGGTGGAATGAATATTTCCGGCTCCGATCTGCTGTGAGAACAGGCCCGGGGCACGAATCTGACACCTGCGTTTCGACGGGTCTCGACAACAAAAGTGTTAGAAGGAATCATTCCGTGAAAACTAAAAGCGGATTGTGTTGTCCTGTTCTTTAAGTCGTGAAGGACACGCATCTGGCTCTGGTGCGGCCCTCAAGGCTGTGTCCCCAACAAGGGCCACTCCCTTTCCGAAGGCTGGCCGGCCGCCTGCAGGGCTGTAGGAGCTGCCGGCCGTCGGGTCTCACGCTCGGAGCTGTGCGGCTTTCAAATGACGCTCCCTTTTCGCAGCAGTTTTGCCGTCTCTCGCTCTCTTCTCACAGCTCTGCCCCATTGTAAGCCTCCACTTAGGGGCGGAAAGAATGAGCGACTGTCTCTGTGGCGAACCGTGGAAGTGTCCCTCCATTGTCAGTTCCCGCACCCCCGCGGCGCAAGGTATGACCTACAACAGTCTCCCCCATTGTCCGCCGCCTTTCCTTTGGCGAATGGAAACAAAGCTGCTCCCAAGGAGTCCAAATCCAGCCCCCAGTCGAAGGCTTAATTGGCAACACAAAGCTCAGCCACCGGGTCCTGGACAATTTCCAAAGGGGATTTTGTTCTGAAGCACCAGGCTGAAAGGCCCCGGAGAGAAGAAAACAGACGCATCCCCATCCCCATCCGCACACGGCAGACGCCCCAGCTCCGTGAGTCCGGAACTCTGATCTCGGGGAAATTTCTACTCGGTCATGAACCTACTGGACGTACTTGGAAGTTGTTTTAATCCTAGTATTTGCAATGCCCGGTCGCTTTCTGTTCTCGAAATTCCCTCCCAACGCACGAGCTGTAGGAACTCTGCAAACACAGAGTAACAATCCGATGCCACCGTTGGGCTTACAGCCTCCGAGGGGATGGGCGCACACACCCACGGAAGCTCGGAAAAGCCAAAGGGGGAAAAATAAGTGAAAAAAATAAGTGATTCACTGCACTCTGCACCAGAAACCAAGACTCTTCCACACTCAATCTAGAATCTATGTATTCACAATTGGCAGCTGGCTAATAACTTCCCATATTTTTACTATTCTTTTGCTCTGAAAAAAAATTTATTTTATATAAGTTCTAAATATACAAAGAGGTATGAGTTATAAAATTCTATTTTCTTCAAGAAAACAAAGGAAATCTCATTTTTTCCATTACCTACTACTTCAAAAAGTCAATCTTAAAATGAAACAACTCACTCTTAAACAACCAATGCGCAAAGAAGAAACTGCTAGAGAATTCAGAAGACACTCCCTGGCCTGTGTGACTGAGCTGGTCGGGTGTCGTGCTGCAGAGCAAAAAAGGTCGCCAGTTCAATCCCCGGTCGGGGCACAGGGCTGGGCTGCAGGTTCGGTCCCCGGTCCGGGTGTGTAAGAGGCGACTGATCCATGTTGCTCTCTCACACTGATTTTCTCTCCCCCTCTTCCTCCCCCCTTCCCCCTCTCTAAAAACGAGTAAGCAAAATCTTAGCGGGGGAGGGAGAGAATCTAGAAAATACCTGGATACAAGCCCTGGCTGGCGTAGCTCAGTGGATTGAGCATGGGCTGTGAACCAAAGTGTCGCAGGTTCGATTCCCAGTCAGGGCACATGCCTGGGTTGTAGGCCATGACCCCCAGAAACTGCACATTGATGTCTCTCTCTCTCTATCTCCCTCCCTTCCCTCTCTAAAAATAAATAAAATCTTAAAAAAATACCTGGAGACAAATGAAAATGAAAACAAAACACACTGAAACTCACGAGATGTGAAGAAAACAGGGCTAAGAAGGAAGTTTATAGCCATACACACCTACATTAAAAAGAAAAAAGATCTCAGATCAACAACCTATCTTTACACCTCATGGAAGTATAAAAAGAAAAAAATAAACTAACTCAAAAGTTTGCAGAAATAAAGAGATACTAAAGAGTACAGCAGAGCTAATAGAAAACAGAAAAACAATTTTTAAAAATCAGGGAAACCAAGAGTATTTTTAAAGATCAACAAAATGGGCTTCACGCTTGGATTGCAAGGATGGTTCAACGTAATGAAAATCAACAATATATCACGTTAACAGAAGGGAAAATCAATTTGTGTAATACATCACATTAACAGAATGAAAAACAAATAACAAATGTTTTCTTTTTTTAAAAAAAAGATTTTATTTATTTATTTTTAGAGAGGGAAGGGAGGGAGATAGAGAGAGAGAGAGAGAAACATCAATGTGTGGTTGCTGGGGGCCATGGCCTGCAACCCAGGCATGTACCCTGGCTGAGAATCGAACCTGGGACACTTTGGTTCCCAGCCCGTGCTCAATCCACTGAGCTACGCCAGCCAGGGCTAAATGTTTTCTTGATTGATGCAGAAAAAGCACTTGACAGAATTCAACATCTTTTCATGTTGAAAATACTGAACAAGCTAGAAATACAAGGAAACTACCCTAACATAATAAAAAGCCGTATAGGAGGAGCCCACAGCTGATATCATGCTCAATGGCGAGAGACTAAAAGCTTTTCGTCTGAGAACAGGAAGAAAGCAAGGACACCCACTCTGACCACCACTATTCAACACAGAACTACTGGAGGTCCTACCAGTACAATCAGATGAGAAAAAGAAATAAGAAGCACCCAAATGAGAAAGGAAGAAGTAAAATTATCTCTGCTTGCAGATGACATAATCTTATCTGTAAAAAAACACTAAAGATTCATCCTGGCTGGTGTGGCTCAGTGGATTGAGCGCTGGCCTGTGAACCAAAGGGTCACTGGTTCGATTCCCAGTCAGGGCACAGGCCTGGTTTTGGGCCAGGTCCCCAGCTGGGGGCGCACGAGAGGCAACCACACACTGATGTTTCTCTCCCTCTCTTTGGCCCTCCTTTCCCCCCTCTCTAAAAATAAATAAATAGAATCTTTAAAAAAACACTAAAGACCCTCACACACTAAAAATTTAAAACTAATAAGCAATCTTAGCAAAGTTGCAGATACAAAAACCAACACACAAAAATCCGTTGAATTTCTACAAACTAACAACTCCAAAAGGAAATTAAGAATCTGTGCAAACACACCAAATATTGTACTTTCACAGGCTTCAATCGGATGGGAGACTGCAAAGTGTCACATAAGAAAAGGAAAACCTACTTTAACCCCCGAGATGGCGCTGCCTTTAGCATCTACCCGAGGCCCCTCGTGCCTACCTTTTGGGTGTCGCCGTCACCGCCATGTCTTTCCTGGTGCCGGAGGGGGACGGCAGGGAGCCGCTCGGTTTCTTTGGTAACACAGTGCCGTTGTTGACGGTGGTTCTCAGAGGCAGGGCCTGCACCAGCGGTCTTGCTGTAAGACAAGCGGGAAAGGGCTTCAGCACGTGCCCCTTGTCGAGGTAATTCACTCTTCAGGGCACGCGGGGAGAAAAGGGTTCCCACCCACGCTGGCGGAATGCACAGCGGTGCCGAGGCAGTTCGACGGCGACTTCTAACAAGGGGTGCCGGCGCACCGAACCTCGACACCCGCCGCCATCCCTCCACACAAGTGAACTGCAGACGGACCACAGACCTAAGTGTGAAATGCGGAACTATGAAACCTCTCGATGGAGAAAGCTGTGGGGATGAGCTTTCAGATACAACGCCAAAAGCACAATCTACGAAACCAAAAAAATTGATAGTTTGGACCTCATTAACATCATAACAGTTTTGCTCTGTGCAAAAGCCATTATTAAGGGGGTGAAAAGAGTCACAGACTAGGAGAAAATACCTGTGAATCACATAGCTCTGAAAGGATCTGTATACAGAATATTTAAAAAAAACTCTCAACAGTAAGAAAACAAACAGCCCAATTAAAAACAAAACACAAAACAACAGGCAAAAGATCTGCACAGACCCCTCACCAAAGAAGATACACAGATGGCAAATGAGCTTATGAAAAGATGTTTGGCATCTTCAGTCAGCAGGGAAATGCAAATTGAAACAATAATGAGACATCTCGATACACCTGTTAGGAGGGCTGAAATCCGAAAGACAGACGGAGGACGGGTTGCTGGCCAGGATGCGGGGCCACAGAAGCTCCCTCGCCGCTGGTGGGAGGGCAAAGCTGCGCCGTCACTTGGGAAGAGAGTTGCCCGTTGCTACATACAGTCTTACCGTACGATCCAGCAATGGAGGGACCCTAGCTGTTCGCCCACTCACTGGAAAACTTAGGTTTATGTAACACCTGCACTTAACATCTACAACGACCGGAAGCAACCACGACGCCCTTCCGTTTGTGGGTGAACAGAAAAGCTCTGGCGTGTTCATAGATGCCAGAATGTGACAAAACGGAAAAGGCAGCGAACCAGTCCGCACAGCAAGCGGACGAGCCTGCATCCGCGCTGCGAAAGGCGCTGTGTTGCCTTTTCTGGGTCACTACTGCATTCCCTTCCTCCGGGCCGTGGGCCCAGCACACTCCGACGGGCGGCCCGGCAGCAGGCGAGACCCCCGGGCCCGCTTTCCCAAGCAGGCTGCGGCAGGGGCGTCAGTCTACGAATGCTCTCGGGACGTCTCCTCCGCTCGGAAATCCACGACCCTAGTCCGACCCTAGTCCACGGGAGAAGAGCGCCTGAAACCACGCTGGGTGTCCGGGATGGGGACGCCCCGGGAGGCTCTCCCACACCCGCCAGCCCACCGGAAGCGGAAGGGGCGGGGCCGCCGGGCGGAAGTGGACAGGCCCAGCGGCTGGAGAGGGAGGTGGAGACCCAGTCACTGGTGGGGCCCCTGTGGCCAACGGTGACTTTGCACACTGTGGCACAGACTGCCCCCAAACGCTACCGAGAGTAAGACCCCCGCGGACGGACTCCGTGGTCTGGTGACTGAAACCTCTGGCGCGCAGGTGGTCGGAATCTGAGGTCTAAGCATCCACAGTTAGGCCTGCGAGGAGAAGCTCACCTTTCCGAAGGGTGGGACCGGAGTGACCAGACCTCAGAAAGTGCCATCCACGATACTACGCTTTCACAACTACCGTTGATATAAATGGAAATTCAAGGATGGCTACTCAAATCCACTCATGCTTATCATGTTGACATTGGTATTAAGTTAGAATCTAAGGTCAAGACACCCTTTTAACTTATATGAACAACTCAGTGCAATATTCAATAGGTAAAACTTTCTATTAGGCCTGCGTAGGAGATTCATGTGTAAAATCCACAGTTCAATTTTAGTATACCTGACCATTCATGGACCTGGAATTCCTAGTTATCTCTTTCAAAATTTAAAATGTCTGTGTTTGGAATCGGAGAAGGCCATCTTTTGCTAAACTGGAAGAGAGAGGAGACAACTGATTAAGCGCTGGGGAAGGTTCCTGCCGCCAACACCCAGCTAAGCTGTAGAGGCATTCACCCCCCGATCCAGGTACCCCTTCCAGGGTTCGACTGGAGGATACACCGGCAAGAATACAAAAGGCATCCTGACCGGTGTGGCTCAGCTGGTGGGATGTTGTCCTGGAAACGGAAAGGTCATGGAAAGGTCACCAGTAAGGGCACGCAGGAGAGGCAACCCATCGCTGTTTCTCTCTCACACTGATGCTTCTCTCCCTCCCTTTCTTCCTCTCTTCCCCTCTCTCTAAAAAGGTCACCCCCTGCCCCCACTGGGTGTGTGTGGAGGACAACCAATAGATGTTTCTTTCTCACATCTGTGTTCCTCGCCCCCTCTTCCTCCCTTCCCCTCTCCCTAAAATAAAAAATAAAATGTAAAAAAAAATTATCCAAATAGGGTGAGGGGAAGTGAGTAGAGGGCACTTAGGAATAATAAATAAAACAAAACCGACTACATGTTGATAAATAATGATGCCAGGTAAAAAGTGAAAGGAATTTTTCTTTCTACTTTTATATACATTGGAACATTTTCATAATCCAGAGTCTAAAAACAATCTTTCTTAGTCTCTGAAAAATTGAACATACCTACTAAACCTTTTCTATAAATCACTAAAGAATTCCTATATAAACCACAGAATGGAATTAATTTAAAAAATGGAAGAAACTATAGTGTGTTCTGTCCAAAAGAAAGCAGAAGTTACTTCTGTAATTAACTAATATTTAAAGAGAAAAATAAGGAGAAAGCACAGTGGATGGGAGAGGGGAAAGTATTTCTCCCTAATCGTGGTCCACCAGGATAAAGAACTAAGTTAATTTTCATTAACTTAATCCACTACAAAGAGCTTAAAAATTTTTAAATTTGTTAGTTTTATCTAATATAATCTGTGGAGGGACCATAACATACTATTTTCCACAACTATATGCTGAAGATGATCTATTGTAATTTGCAAATCAAATCAAACCTTGAGAAAAGAACTCTCATTTCTAGTCATCTGGTTATTCATTTCTTAAATATTTGACTTGGTTTGAATAACCCTAATTTACATCATATTGCTCAGAGGGTGCACAGCAAAGCAACACGGAGGGCGGAAGGAATCCGCCCCACACGCAGCCAGGCCTCGGGGTCCACACCCAGATTTTCCTACACCAGCTGGGTGACCTGGGGCAACTTATTCCTTCTCCTTGAGGCTGCTTCCTCATCTGTAATCATACCCCCCTCAAAGGACGGTGGAGAGGTGAAAGGAGCTAATATGTCCAAAATCTCTTTTGCACAGTCCAGCACTCAGTCAGCTAACAAACAGTAGCCACAGAGTTGTGTTAAATGTCAGGGTCAAGTGCTGGTGCAGCCGAGGCTCTGGGACTGAAGAGACTCCGTGGCTGCTCCCAACAGTGGTCCCAGGTGCTCCGTTCTGAGACCAGGTTTCCACGCCCCGCCGGGACGGCAGGACGGGCTGGCTCACCAGTGTCGCCAGCAGAGCCTTCTGGTGACACTTCCAAAGTCTCCGATCATGAATGGGGCTGTTAATAAAAAAGGTTGCAAACGTACATTAAGGTTTTACAAAAGGCAACCTATCAAATTGTAGCAAAACTACAGTGAGCAAGAGGAACTACTTGCTGGTTAATGCCCAAGAAAGCAGACGACCCAGATGCACGGGACGGTGACTACGTTTTAACCTACATTTTTCGTTTAAAGTCCCGCAACGTGCCCCCAGCACTGACCCGGGAACCAGCCGTGCCCGTGGGCAACAGCTCTGTCACTAACTGGACCCCACGCCTGTCTTCCCGAGAACACGTGAGCGAACCGTGGCTCCGGAAGTCTGCCGTGAGCCCTGCTGCTGGCCTCCACGCAGTGAAGGTCAGATTCAGGGGGAAGAACAGAGTCATTTTTAAATCAAAAATTCCTTCTGCTTATTGAGGAATATACACCAAAGGACATTTAGAAGCCAACTAAAAGTTTAAAAAAGAAAAACACCATAATCCTACCATGGAGGGAAAAAAAGCAATAAATGTTACTATAGCTCTTTCAAATATCTGCACAGATTTTGTCCCTTTAGTTGAAATTATACAGTGTTTACAGTTTGACATCCTGCTTTTGGCTCCTAACGTAACATGCTAACGCCTAAGCATTCTCCCTGTTGTCACCAGCCACGGACCCCTTTAAAGACCACACTGCCTTCCGTCTCCGAGTGCCAACTTGCCCGGCCACGCCCCTGTGCGTGCTCCCTCCACTGCTTCCTGTCCGGCTGTCCCCACTGTGCACCAAGTGTTTTCTGTATTTGCACACGCAGTAGGTCCGCTCACTTCATTCCACCAGCGGTGGGTGTTGTGCCCACTCCAACCTCAACACTGAAAAAACTCGACTGTTGGCAAGTGCCTCAGAACATCCGCCCCCACAGCTGTTTGGCCCCTTCTCCGCGGTACGGTGACCCGTGGGCACGGAAATCCAGCGTGGACAAGGCGTACTCTGCAGGCTGATACTCTCTACGGTGAAGACAGATGAGAGGGCGACCAGTTCTTAGTACTTACAAAAAGAAAAATCCGAAAGGAAGAGAACAGCAAAGTCTGGGGAGCTTAGGTAGAGGCCGAGTTCACCCCAAGACCCAGTATCATTGGGTTAAGAAGAGCTGGGTAATCAGCACAATTGGCCACAATGGGGACCATCGAATATTGTTTAAAAAAAAGTCATCTGAGACACAGGTCCCTCTCTATAAATTAAGTCCACAGGCATTTTTAGGGGGCGGCTGCAGTCTTCCGCTGTCTCAGAAACCCTTGAACTTGAGCTCTGGGTTATTTTCATGAGACCGCAGCTCTCCTTGTTGCGCCAGGAGAGTCCAATGACGAATGACCGAGTCGGTCCAAGCCCAGAGGTCAGGGTGACTCTTCCAATACGCAGAGGGCTGATGCAGAGAGCATAAAGAGCGATTGCCCACGGCCTCGCGGCCACACTGAGGCAGCGAGTGGAAGAGCCGCCCGGCAGTGGGGGCGCCGGCGGCTCGGAGCCCCAGCGCTCACCGTGCACATGCTCTGACCCACTGTGGCGACAGCACAGGGGCGTGCCTCCAGCGCTCTGGACAACTCGCCGGGGGGAGAAACACGTCACTGAACATTTAAAAACCAGCGTGCCGCGAGTCCAGCCCACCTCAGGGCTGCACGAGGACGGCAAGCCTGGGCGCTGTGAAGCGATGGGGATAACGGGGCCTTTCGGAAACCCGGGGAGGGGTGTCCACAGCCCATCTTGTTTCAGAGATCCCCACCCTAGCCAGGGCTGCAGAGGGCCAGCTCTCCAGACAGAGGGGCACCTCCCGGGCCGGGCCGGGCCGTCAAGGGGCCTCGGGAGGAGCTGCCTCCAGTGCCGGTGACGGATGCCTCCCCCTCCTCTGCCCCAATGTCCGGAGTGCGCTGCGCACGAGTAGGGAACCACGGCCCCGGCAGCAGAGGAGGCCACCCCTCGCCGGCTCCCTTGCCGTCTTTTTCCAGTTCTTGATGTGACCTTCTGGCTTTTACGCTGTGACTTATTTCCACTTATGAAAACAATGCTGCAAAGAAACATCCACTATAACTCCTCTTAGAAGTTTGATAAAAATTAAGTTTTACCTTTTCAAAAAAAAATTTGTTTTAGATTTTATTTATTTATTTATTTTTAGAGAGGGAAGGGAGGGAGAAAGAGAGAGAGAGAGAAACATCAATGTGCGGTTGCTGGGGGCCGTGGCCTGCAACCCAGGCATGTGCCCTGACTGGGAATTGAACCTGCGATGCTTTGGTTCGCAGCCTGAGCTCAGTCCACCAAGCTACACCAACCAGGGCTTTAAGTTTTACTTTTAATCAAGAAAAGATAACTCCTGGATAGCCCTCTTGTATTATTTTCCCCCTAATTTTCTAAAAGTAAAGAAGTTATAGCCCTAACTAGTGGGTTGGGCATTATCCCACAAAGGAAAAGGTCACCGGTTCGATACCCAGTCAAGGCACACGCTTGGGTTGCAGGGCCAGGTCTCTGGTTGGGGGCATGTGAGAGGCAACTGATCAATGTTTTCCTCTCACATCGATGTTTCTCTGCCTGTCTTTCTCCCTCCTTTCCTTTCTCTCTAAAAATAAATAAATAAAACCTTTGAAAAAAAATTAATACAGAAGCTGTAGAAGTCTGAAATTTTATATGAGCAACTACTTCCAATGTACCCTTTAGGATACAGGAGTCATCAGAATTATTTCGGGAAAGCTGAGTAGGTCAAGAATACCTAAAAGAAGCCAGTTTCCATTTAAAACGCCCTAATCGCTTCGTAACTTAGGAGAGAAAGATTACTTAAAAGGAGTATTCAACACGCAGACGACGCCCTGCAGGTGCCTCTCCTGTGGGCTGGAGGTGGTGACCCCGGAGGGCGGGAAACACGTTTCCGCCCCCAGAAACGAGCACAGAGTGCGGAGAGAGCGGGAGCGCCTGCAGAGCCCTCGCCCGACCCCAGGGGAGATGCGGTGACCGGGACATCCCTGGTGAAGTCCCAGCACAGTGAGCAAGTTCATTTTAAAGGGACATTCACAAGCCACGGTCCCAGAGTGTTCTAACCAAGGGAGTTCCACAGCCGAGAGGAGTTTAATTCCGCTTCCCAGGGCTGGCCGTGAGGACACATCTTGGGGGGGAAAGGTGAGCCGTGCCTCCCGGTTGAAAGCAGACAGCAGGGTACAAACTAGGAGGGGGTTTATTTCAAAATTTCAAACAGAGGGTCCCCACAAAGTTCCTTAAAACAAAAACACGGCGTTTTCATGTTCTGTGCCCAGATGCTGCAGGGAGACAAAACGAGCGTCTCCGTCCGCCGGACCTCCACCAGGCACAGGAGCCTGGCCGGCTGTGCTCTCGCGGACGGCAGAGGGGGAGGCTCAGAAGAAATGGGGTTTCGCCCAGAAGGAGCTCCCTAGCTCGTCGGGGGCTGGGGGCGAGTGATAAATCGCAAGGCCCTGAGCTCCTCAGGGAAGGGCCCCGGGCCTCGGCTCGGTGTCGTGTGTGGCACGCGACCAGTCACGTGTCTGCTGGGCTGAGACGGAGGACAGCATGAGGCAAGCATGGAGATGAGAGCTGGCAGCACGCTCTCCAGAGGCAGAGCCCCCCAGGGGCACGCAGGGGAGGCTGGGGCTGCGTGCGCACTGACTCCTTGCCGGAGACTCTGGATAAACGGCCGCTCTCACTGCGGACAGTGCCTTCCTTGCCCCGCCAGGCACCTGCTGACCACTGCAGCTGCACCCCTGTGGGCCGTGCACCACCTGCACCAAGCCAAGAAACACGGTCCCGCCTCAGGGGGTGATTCTGGCTGTGCAGAGGTTGTTTCATTGGTTTTCTAGGTGGCGCTCCTCTGTCCACATTAAAGAGTGCAGCGCGCCGGCCAGAGCGAGGACCGGCCGTGAGACCGCCCGGCCCGCCGCTCCCGGGTGACGCAGAACGCCCACCTTTGGTCGGTCCTTTCCGGTTCAGCACGGCCTGCTGCTCCTCGGTGATGTTCAGCCGCCGGACCACGTCGGCCAGGGCGGACTTCAGCAGCTGGATGTCGTCCTCTTGCATCTGGACCCGCTGCTCCAGGGAGGCGATGCGGTCCGTCACCTCCACGCTGCTTGCCGCGGAGGCGCTGTCATCTGAGCCGGGGAAAAAGGGGCAGGTGAGTCTTAGGTGCCCCCCGGGGAAACCCGCGCAGTGAACTCGAGCCAGCACAGGGCTGCGGCAGAGCAATGACAGAGCGAGGATAGTGGCCTTGCAGCAGAAATCGCGTGGCACCTGCCACGACACAGGACCACAGCGCCGCATCCTCCCACGGTCTCCGCCTCCCCCCAGCCAGCGCCTCTCTCTTTTCAGACGGCGGCTTTACCTGCCACTGCGCTCTCCTCCCCCAGGGCACCGGGGGCCTCGCCGGTGGGGGGGACCTTGGAACCTGGCGGTTTCAACCTCCCACACGTGGCCGGAGCCGCTGCGCAGGCTTGCAGCCTCTGCTCCAACAACGCCGACACGTGTCAGATCGTGACCAGGCCACTCCACCCGCGGGGCAAGGCTTTCGAGGACTGGCCCCTCTGACCGTAACGTCACACCAGGAGCAGGGGGGCGGTGACCTGTCTCCCCTCCGAGGAGTTAAACATCTAGACTCTCTGACGTGTGAACTGAAGACGGAGGGCGAGTCCGTGGGACAGCTGCCAAGCGGGCGCCTGGGCACTGCACACCCCCAGGGAAGGCCTCGCCGCGGGACGAGGGCAGGGAGGGCTCTCCTGGGCTGGGAGAAGCCGTTCCGGCCAAGTCCGCGATGGAGACTCACGGGAGAGACAGATGCTTCAGTCACTGTTAGCATGGACTCTGGAACCAAGTGACCTAGGTTCAAATCCCTGCCCTGCCACTTACTGGACGTGTGGTACAGGGCAAATTATTTTATTGCTCAGTGCCTCAGTCTCTCCATTTGTACGACAGGGATGAACGTTATCTCACACTGTTGTAATACAAAATGAGTTAATATATGCAGAGCTCTTAGGATGTTTTGCCTGTAGTAAATGCTTTACAAATGTAAGCTATAATTAAGCAATTGTCGCCATCACTGTTATTACTGATACAAATTACCAAAGTAAATTCAAGTTGAACATTTCCTTGAACATTCCTATGTGCTATCTAAACATTCCTGTGAAAAACAGCACTGAAAAATTAATGAGAAGTTAGTGTTTGATTAGTATGTGTTTCTAAGTCAGTAAGGAAACTGGCACACGGAGTCAGGACTTTCTCTGGTCTCTGGGGCTGCTGGAGGGGACAGCAGCGTCGGGAGGGCCCACACCCTCACCGGGGGACCTGTGCTCACTGGCCGTGTGGCCGGGTGGCCGGGTGGCCGGGTGGCCGGGTGGCCGGTGGGCGCTGATGAGCAACGCCAGCCCCTCCCGCACCACCTCGTGTGTGCGAGTCCATGGCGACGACACTCCCGGCGGGTGGGGGCAGGCCTGGTCCGAGTCCTCCGAGTTTACGGGGAAAATGCGGTCAGGGTGGCCTCGGCTGGCTCTACGGACGGCTTGGATGAGACTGCACGGATCAGACTCTGCGTTCATTTTATTGCCAAGTTCGTACAGGAAAAAGTCGAATTTCACAATTTTGCCCCGGCCGGTATGGCTCCGTGGGTTGGAGCATCATCCCGTAACTGAAAGGTTGTGGGTTCGATCCCCAGTCCGGGCACGTGCAATCCCTGGTCTGAGCACATACACACGGGAGGCAACCAACGGATGCTTCTCTCTCTCGCATCCGTGTTTCTCTGTCTCTCGCCCTTCCTCTCGCTCTAAAAGCAATGAAAAAATGTCCGAAGGCGAAGATAAAAAATATTAAAGTTTTACCAAAGAACCCCCAAAACAAAACCCTGCCTTCAAATACACGTGATTCAAAGCAGAAACACCTGATCCGCTGAGTAAGAGAACCTCCCTGCGGGCTCAGGGGACGCTCTCCCCGTGACACCGCCCCCCCGTGCAGTGCGTCCCAAATGCGGCAGCGCCGCCTCGTTGACCCGCGACGGCCCGTCCGCTCCCGCAGGCGGTCACTCCGAGGGCGGACGGCAGGCTTCTCGGCAGCGTGTGAGCTGCCTGACGTTCTTAACCTTCGTGTGCACGGGAAGGGCCAGCGGGCTTCCGGTGACTCCAGGCTCCAGCCGGGAGGGAAGCTGGCCGCCGGTTCCAGAAGGGACGGCGCCCCCTCCACCAGCAGCGCAGCTCCTCGGGGCTGAACCCCAGCCTTGGGGCACCTTCTCGAGGTCCAAACGGGGGCTCAGGAAACGAGCCCCCGGGAAGGCTGATCATCGGCGTTTCTGCACGGGCCGGCCTGGGTCCTGCGGCTTCAGGAAAAGCACCGGCGTGGCGTTAGCCAAAGTGGAGGAACAGACAGACAGACAGAAGGCATCACACAGGCAGGGAGGGGTGGGGAGGCGCCAGTGGAAGAGGAGACCCCCCAGCTCCCGGGAAGTGGGGGGGGGCGGGGATGCCCCCAGGGGAGGAGACAGCGCTGCAAGTCCAGAAGAGCCACCAGGACTAGGGTTCGCCGGGCAGGGAATGGCAGAGGCGGAGGCAGCGGCACCGAGAGAGAGGGAACTTCGGAAACGAGTTTCCGCTGAGCACCGGCCGGCACTCACTCAGGTGTGAGGGAGCTCCCCAGGGTTTGGAGAGAGTGACCAGGGAAGGGCGGGCAGCACAGACCCCGGGGCTCCGGTCCCCGTGGGCGGGGTTTGACCCACGCCACCCTCGGGAGCTGGGGGGGTACTCGGAGCACTCTGCCCTGGGCGAGACGCTGCTCTGGCCTCCAGCAGAGCTGTGTCCGAGCGGCAAAGCCACGTGCCAGCACAAAGCTCCGGTATTTACAGGCCTATAAAAGTACCCAGCTCCCAACGAAGTTAAACCCACAACGTCTGGTATCCAGTAAAAACGACCAGGCAGGAAAACATGATCCGTAATCGGGAAGAGAATCGACCAAGCAAAACTGACCCAGGGATGACATGGGCGATAGAATTATCAGACAGGAAAATCGAACAGTTATTATAACTGTATTATATGTGTTCCAGCAGCCACAGGAAAGGTTGAATATGTTAGGTAGAGGCATGAAGGTATGTGTATGTACATCTATATGTTTTACAGATATATGTTTACATTATACACATTTGAAAGCCAAATTTCTAGAGAGCCACAATGCACTGGATGAGATTCACTGGAAAGACTGGTGAACATGAAGAAATACTGAGAGAAAACAGACTGGAGAAGGGGAGGGAGTGGGGAAGAAAGAGAGAGAGAGAGAAGGAGGAGGAGGAGAAAAGAGAAAATGAGTAGCAATAAGAATAGAGCACCAGGGAGTGTGTAAATCAACCTCAAGTGTCCTCGTATCTGTGTAATTCAAGTTACAATCAAAGGGGAGGAGAGACAGGAGGAAATAAAGAAATTAGAAAAATAATGGCTGAAAAAATTCCAAATTTGACGAAAATTATACACCCTCAGATCGATGAGTCCCAAGCACAAGAACGTGAAGGGAGTCTCACCAAGGCAGGGTGAGATTAAGCCGCTCGAGAGCAGTGAGAAGGAGAAACGCTGGCGAACTGGGGGTACGCAGCTCCCGCACCTGCTTCTCGGTGAGACGCCGGGCGCCCATCCCCAAGACCAGGACAAGGCGAGGGGGCCTGCTCTCGCCACTCTTCCTCGGCACCGGGCGGAACACCAGGCCGGAAGCCCAGCTAGGGCAAGGCGACGAGTACAAGTGAGTGTGCAAACTGGGAGAGGAGAAAGAAGACCCCGACGCCATACTGTCTACGTAGGAAACGCCACGGAATGCACGAGAAAAACTCCTCGAGTGATCGTAACAAGGTTGCGTGATACGAGGTTCGTGGACAAAAGTCAACTCCCTTCCTGTGACATGAACCCACTGGAATTTGAAATGAAAAATAAAACACTACAATGACACCCAAAATTAAAATACTTGGGTATAAACCTAACAATGTATATTTAGGATGTATACGCAGCTAACTATGAAATTACGATAAACCAACAAGATGGACACAGGGTCTACATGCGGGAAACTGTAAAATATGCCGAGATGAAAAGACCTGAAGGAGTGGAGACACATTTTGTGTTCGCGGAGTAGAAGTGCCAACATTCTCATGCCAAGTCTATCCAACCTGACCTGGGGAGCCACCCAGTAGTCCCGGCAGGCTGTCCCGCGGATGCCGGCAGGATGCCGGCAAGCTGACTCTGGGGTTTATTTGCAGAGGCAGAAGACCCAGGCCGGCCAACAGGATAATGAGCGAGGGCAGCGACGCCGAGAACTGGAACTCCCTGACTTTGAGACGAATACAAAGCCACGTAGTCCAGACCTCACGTTGCCGGGGAGGGGGCAGACAGAGAGACCGGCAGGATACCGCACAGAGCCCAGACAGAAGCAGACCCCACAAAGAGGGTCGACTCACCTTCGACGGTGGAGCCAAGGGAATCCAAGGGGGAAAGGACAGTATTCTCGCCAAACGGGGCTGCGACAGTCAGGTACCTGCAGGCAGAGACCCTGCGACTTCCACAAAAACGAACTCGAACTGCACAGAGTGGAAGATTAGTACTTTGAACTGAATGAACACGAAAACACAGCAAAGTGAAATTTGTGAGATGCAGCTAACACATTGCTTAGGCTCTTATAGCACTAAGCACCTACAGTAGAAAAGAAAGGAGAAGGAAAAGGAATGGGGAGGGAAATGACCTGGGCTGTGCCTTAGAAACCCAAAGCCAGCTCACACACAGCAGGGCGGGAATCAGAGACAGAAGAAGATGGGAAAGTCAAGCAAAATGCTAGTTCTTTGACGAAGTGTGTGAAATGGACAAACCTGTATCCAAATCAATCAGAAAACAAATGAGAAAGGACACAAAATATTGGCATCGCTACGGGGGCTACAGATGTTAAAAGGATAACAAGGGAATAGGAAGAAAACCTCTATGCCCATAAATTCAATAACTGAGAAGAACGATATGGATTCTTTGAAAAACAAACTACTAAAGTTCATCCAAGAATAGGCCATTTAAATAGCTGTATTTAAAAATTTGAATCTATAGTTAAAAATCTATATAAAGAAAAAAAGGCACTGGTGGGCTCTACCAGGCAGTTC